CCTTGAGCAACTAATTCAGAATAAACAAATGAGCCCTCAAACAAAGGAAGAGAGCTCTAAGAGAGCCCAAAAAGAACTCCCTTAAATCCACCCATGGAGGTAATGCAAAAGGGTGTGGACACAGAGGTCCATACTGCCAGTACCTTGCAACCACCCAAGTGGTTGAAAGTAGGTTGTTCTTGGGACACTTAATTCTTACACCATAGATGTTGACACGGAACAGAACTCCTACCTCAGAGGGAGTAAGAGATAGGTAGTTTATCTTGAAGCCAAATATGAGTGACCTTGGTCTAGGAATTCAGATTTAGGCTACCCCAAACTTCATGTTCCAACTTGGAAGCAGTTTTAGGAAGGTTTTATAGTTTTACAGAACAGAGAAAGTAGTAAATGAAGAGCTTTTCAAATACATAGGTAGAAAGCATCTGGTGAACTAAAGAAAAGTGGGAACCTCTGCTCTAGGCTTCACACGCTCTCTGACGACAGCCAGCCTATTGGTGGGTTAGAGGTGTCTATTTGTACATTCCAACAACTTTTACCTCATTGACTATCACAAGGATGTTAGTTCACATATAGAGAAGGGCAATAAATGGTTATTGAGATGGCTAAAGATGGCCCAGGATAATTTGGCTCTGAACTAGTAATATTACAAATTCTCCAGAACCTTTTAAGTGCTGCTCAGTTAATCAGAAAAGAACACATATTCACACACGGTAACACTGAGTTCACTTTCCCCACTCTTACACAATTCAGGATCCCCTTCATAGGAAATGGTGCCACCCAAAGAGGACGGGTCTTTCTGATTCAATTAACCTAGTCAAGATAATCATACAGACCAACCTGATCTAGAAAAGTCTTCACCAAGACTACCTTCCAGGTGATTCTAGACTATTCTAAGTTTACAATTTTAAAAACCACCACAATTATATGTGTATATTCTCTTTTCTAATTTTCTTTATTTTTCTTAATCAACCCTATTTTTGTTCCTTCCTCTGTGAAAGACTGGGGTCAAGGAGACCATGAACACCATCAAAATGAATAACAGCAAAGGACACAGCTTATTTGGGAAGCAGAGTGCAGAGTATTTATCCTTAGCCATATCATATTGTTACAACTTTGCAAAATACAGTATTTGAGATACCAATCTACTAAGGCCTTTTATTCCACTGGACAAAGAGCAGCTGTTCATATGTTGCTTATTGGACCTTTCCCCAGAAGATAAAATGTGAAGAATATGACATGTGGTCAAGGAAATACCTGTTAGAATGTGAAGGCAGTATTCTACCCACACTCTGCAAACATCCTCTTGTTTGTAAAGGAGTCTGGCAAGTGCATTGTCCTGGGGTGATGTCAGCTCAGCAAATTTCCTTCACTTAATTTTAAAATTAAGAACTAATAAAAGGTCCCAGCTTTTTTAGTGGAGGCAAAAACTGGACTGGAAACAAAGAAAACAAAGGCTACTGAAGTACTTCAATCATTACCCAGCTAGGGAATAGAGCAGGTGCTGTCATATTATGGGCCATGTTGGGTGTGTCTGTATTTATCTTACACTTCACTGTTTTTTCTTCTTGCTACATTGACAAGCAGTCTTAGTGTAGTACTGAATAGAAGTGTTTAAAGTAGGAGCCATTGTCTTCCTGGAGTACTTTTCCATTTCATAATGTGGTTTGTTATAGGATATATCCATCCCCATGGATCTTGTCAGGTTAAAAGTCTGAGATGATATAAAACTGCTTTTACATTTGTTAAGAGACAATTCAGCATTTACTCCATAGTCTGCCCATATCTAAATTACTATATGTTAATTTACTTTTAAGATTAAACAACTTTACCCACGACTGAGCTAACTTTGCCCAGTTTTATTACAGTTAATATATATTTCTATGACTACTTTAATATTAAGATGTTTTTCAGGTACAGTATTGTAGTTATTTTTAGCAGATTAAAGATTTTTATTTTTGTAGGAATTTATTTGAATTATTCTCATTAAGGTTTCATGTGTCTTCCACAACTGGCTTAATCTCGACATGATCTCTTGTCCCCAGCTCATTTGGTTGGACATGGTCTCATTCGGTAGCCTTGGCTGTCCTGGAACTTGCTATGTAAAACAGGCTGGCCTTGTACTCACAGAGATCTATCATGTCTCTGTCACCCAAGTGGGGAATTAAAGATGTGTGCCACCATGTCCAGCCTTTTCTGTTGTCCTTTATGTCTGTCTGTATTGTTTTGTGACAGCGTTTCATGTAGTTCCTGCTTCCCTGAACCCATAATCCTCTTGCCTGCCCATCCATTATGCTGAATTCTAATTCCATATGTTACTTACTTTAGCCTTTCTCTCTCTATTTTGATTCATCTTGCCAGTCCTGTCTTATTTTATTATACTTATTATTAATTTTACTTCCATTAGACTGTTTTCTCAGAGAACTGTCAGTAGTCCTGTTACGCAGTTGCTTCCATTTCCCTTCTCGTGCTACACCCTTACTACTTCCCCTCATCTACTCCCTATATTTTGTCATACTTGTTTTCAGGCTCTCTTCTGTAACAGCGTCTCTCGTTAATTATTGTGCGTTAGGAATGTATCGACTGCACTGATTCAGTTATAGACCACATGCTTTTAAACACATTTTCCTCAACAGTTCTAGATGTTTTCTAATTCCCTGTTGTAGCATCTTTATTTAGCTCAAAGTTGTTTGTTAGCTTGTTCATGTAGGACAGTTTTCATTTTTAATTCCATTTTATTATTGGAATATCTATTTTTTTTTAACCAGAGCTTTTGTGTGACATTTTAAAAGGTACTTTTTTTTTCTTACAAACATGTATGATTCTTTCAGATTAAAACAAAACTGTGTAAGGAGCTAGAGAGAGAGCTCAGCAGTTAAGAGCACTGACCACTTGCTCTTGCTGAGGCCATTGTTTCTCAGCACCTGTACCTAGCAACTCAGTATGGCATGTAGTTCAAGTTTCAAGTGCTCCAACATCCTCTGGCCTCCCCGGGCTCTGTGCTCATGCAATGCTCAATGAGATATGTTTTACACACACACACACACACACATGTGCGCGCGCGCACACACACACACACACACACACACACACACCCCTAAAAATATTTAAAAAAATATTTTAAAAAGTGTGTAAGTATATATTTATGTGCATACATAATTTATAATGTACCTATATATATTTAATTTTGGAGTTATGAGAATTATCATTAAAAGCCTTAAAGCTATTTGTGGCCCTATTGATATGTTCATTCTTGAAGTTATCATCAAATTTGTTTTCTCAAGTCAATGGATTTCAAAATTTTGAGTTGTAGATTCCCTGGGTTTCAATTCTATTTTATGACTATTATAAAGATTGCTGTCTTAAGCTTAACACATGCAATTTTGTGCTCCATGAAATATACAAAATTCTAATTTAGAAAAAATATGGCAGGAAAAAATAATTCAAAAACTTGAGAGGAAACTTTTAATAAATATTTTCCTATTAATTAGAGAAATGATCACTCACCATTTTACTCTGATTTTGTTTTGTTTTGTTTTGTTTTAAATCTTGGCCTGTTGTTCAAGATATACACAGTCGTTTTTGTTGCTGTTTGTTTTATCCTTTTACTGCTAATTCCCAGCCATGACCTCTCAATGTCAGAAAACAATGAGTTAATGTCCTGGTTACAGACTTGGTCTACCTGCCCAAATCATCTTATGTTAGAAGATAACTTTTTAAGTGGGTAAAATTATGATTGATTCTCATTCATCTATAAAAATAAGTACGTGTTAAAGAGCAAAATTCATCAGTCAGTGAAGGAACTGTGTATTTACCAGGTTCAAAAGAACATCCTAAGCTTAGAGTGATGGCACACTCCTAGAATCCCAGAACTCAGCAGGCCAAAGCTGGAGGACTGCAGGTGTGAAGCCATCCTGGGACACAAGGTCACACCCCTCCAAACAAAAAAGAGGAAGAATTCTAACAGACACATTTATGCACCTAAAATATTTAAATAAATGTACAAATAATGACAAATGTATTTGTTTTCCCACAGAGGGAAAGAACAGATAGACTTTACATGTGTATAGACAAAAACTATTTGTTCTTACTCAGAGATGTAAGATGGCTAAAGACAGCAAAAGGTTAAACTTACGTAACCAGAGAGGTGTATCCTCTGGAGACAATGCATAGTTTTTCATTGAAACATAACCTTTCTCTGTGCACCTGGGTTTGGTCTTTTTTTTTTTCCTTTATGCTTATTTAGTCCACAGCTGTTCTTCAGTGACCTTCAGTTACCTGAAATGAGATTTCTCCCTCTGTCTTTCCTACTATCTTACTTAATTACCACTTATATCTATTGTACAATAGTGTTAATTATCTTTTCATTATGCTTTTCCCCACATCATAAGAAATCATAATCTGTACTGATCATCTCAGTTTTGGGAACTTACTGTCTTTTTTCTCCTCTTTATTATGACTTTAATTCCCTTTAAACTATCTCTAACAACACCAAACAGCATAATCAATTGTTCTTTTAGCCTGTAATCTCTAATGCTTAATATTGGGTGTCCTTGGGGAAAAAGCAGATAAAAAACAAAAAACTTTGGGTGATCTGTTATAGCTGCATAGTTCAAGTTCCAAACACATCCTGAGGACAGTTTAAATAGATAGGATTTATATCTAATATTTAATTACAAGTTATACTTTCTATTTCCACTTACACTATCAATTTTGAAGAGCAGGATAAGACATTTGAATATTTGGTAATCATCGCTGGTTTTCCCTTCCAAAATACCCTCCCACATTAAGTTCACAAAGTCATGAATCATGATAGACTATGCAGGAACACAACTGCATTTGGCTTGCTGATTACAGGCTTTTCCTTGCTGGCGTTTACAAGTATATTTCATGTTCCAAAAATATTTTGCTAGTCTTTTGGCAGTTTTAGCTAAATATTTTCAGTTATCTATATATAATGTTTACTTTTTATAAGTACTAATTGCAAACTTCCATTTCCTTAGATGAGAGATGTTGACAAGCATTATATAAAACCAATTACGAAATGTGAAAACAGCACACAGACAGATACACACATATTGCCACCAACTACTGTAAGATCATATGAATGGAATGAATGGGAATTAAGAAGAAAAGCCATAAGACTGGTTTGTAACAGTATTTTCTAAATTGTTCAAAGGTGGGAAATTTACATATAGTTGATAAGTTAAATATTTTATATAAATGTAATAAGTTATTCACAGTTCTCTGTGAATAAAAGTAATTAGCATGGTATATAACTTGCTGGCTTCATATACTGTAAGGTTGTCTTCTAATTTTAAATTTGTATAGAAATAAGAGAGCATCGCTGGGTGGTAATGGCACACCCCTTTAATCCCAGCACTCAGGAGGAAGAGGCAGGCAGATCTCTGTGAGTTCGAGTCCAGCCTGGTCTACAGAGTGAGTTCCAGGACAGCCAAAGCCACACAGAGAAACCCTGTCTCGAACCTCCCATATATATATATATATATATATATATATATATGGAAGCATGAACCCACTCTCTAGCAATACCAGCCAGTTACTAAACACTGATGGTTACTCTTCCTAGTTTGAAAACCATTTTTTCTGGGCTGGAGAGATGGCTAAGTGGTTAAGAGTACTTGCTATTATTTCAGAGGACCTAGGTTCATTTCCAGGAAACTACTTGGGCAGCTCAGATTGCCAGCTCCAAGAGATCTGACACTCAGTTCTGGACTTTGCAAACCCTAAAACACATGTACACAGATGCATACACATAAATAAAGCAAAATAAATCTTAAATATAAAAGAGTACCTTTTCTCCAGCTCTGGTGGTACAAGCATGCTCTTCCAGCTACCTGGAAGTCTGAGATCTTCCTAGGTTAAAAGGTGAGTTCATGGGCAGCCTGAAGAACTTAGCAAGAACCTATGTCAAAGTGTGTGTGTGTGTGTGTGTGTGTGTGTGTGTGTGTGTGTGTGTGTGTGTGTGTGTGTGTTGTATATTAAAGGCTGCACACATAGCTTAGTGGTAGAGCACTTGCCTAGCAGCCCCAAGTTAAACCACTCTGCCAGAAAACAAAACTAAACAACATCAGCAACAGCACACCCTATTCCTCCCACTTCTTTTAACCCTTTGTGTGAAATCATAGATACTGTAGCACCCCTGCACCCTTTAGATAGATTTGTTCTATGTAGCCCAGGCTGGCCTGGAATTCAACATGCTCCTGCCTTAACCTCAGCCTCCTGAGTGTTGGAATTACAGTTCTGTTTCCAGTGCCTTCCCCCCATCCTGTTAGACACTGTGCTTTTTCATCTTGTGGATTCTGGTTCACTTTAATCATAACAGGTGCCAACCCTTAAAGCATGTCTTTGAAGCTCTCATCCATGTCGTTCTCAGTAGAATCCCCCACTTGCCTCTTTTAAAAATAGTATCTTATCATCTGAGACAATAGGTTTTTAATATATTATTACCATTTACTATATGCCAGGGGCTTTTGCTGACTAACAAGGTAGGGGGACAAGTAAATTCCCTAATTAGTTACCTTTCTCATAACAATCACAGAATACCCAACAAAAACAGAGGAGGGGGATTTATAGCATATATGTGATAAAAATCATTTACGCCTGTATCCACCATTGCACTGAAATCTTGTGTGAAGTAAACAAAGATTTCTCAGTAAGAACAGAAAGCTTGGATGATAATCTTAACATGCAGACAAGGAGAGCTGTGGAGATGGCTGCCCAATAGGGTAAGATGTTTGTTGCACAAGCCTAAAGATCTATGATTGGGTGCCTCAAACCTACATAAACACACAGAAACAGTTGCAATCCCAGTGTGCCTACTTGAAATGGGAGGTGGGGTCATGAAACTTACCAACAACAGCTGTGACTCATAAGGGGGAAATACATTTAGAATTTATTGAGACTTTGAGGCAGATCTTTTAATGCCCAAGGTGGGTTGAACAGAAAGATGAGGATTTAAATAAGATTGAGTAGAAAAACGCCAGCATTTGTGGGACAGAATGGAGAAAGATTTTAAGGCAAAGGATACAAAGAATCTTAGAGCCTCACTGTGCATTGGTTCTTACTGCTGACAAGTTAATGCATCTTTCAGAATGTCTTGGAATGGACAATGTAAGAACTTACTTGACCTGGGCTGGGGTACAAGCCAGTGTTGGAGCATTTGCCTAGCATGGGGGAGGCCTTGAATTCTAATCCCAACACAAAAATGCTTGCTTATGTAATAAGTCTCTTGGAATAGTAAAATTATGCAACCAGAAATAATGAAAAGATAAAGGCTTATTAATGTAGACCATATGCTGGGCCTTTGCAGGGTCCAAACTCTGAAATAATTAGGTCTGTCCTCCTTTATTCATATGCTCTAGTACCCACTGATGTTTTTTCTTACCCTTTTCCAAAATCTTATTAGTTCTTATCTTCTCCTGTTTCTTTGTGGGGCCCAGGATCAAATCAGGACTTCCATGTGCTACCCAACCCAGTGACCACTGAGCCATACCTTCCATCCTTATCCTTCATGGTTACTAACCTGTGTAATCTGTTTGAATTCATGTTCACTAGATATCCGTAAAGAAAGTAAGCAAAATAAAATTGTGTAATCTGAAAATGGACTTTTATATTAACAGCATAGGATGAAGCTAATTTTAAATATTCACTATAAACCTTGTTTTTCATTTATAAGCCAAAACAAGTATGATTTAAAAACTGTCAAAGTTCTATGGATCTTAAAGTTTAATATTAAGGCAATCATAAGGTCATTTAGAGTCATAACTGAAATCATTGCAACTCAATATTGTGCACTTTTCTTTAAGCTCATTTTCAGCATTTAATGTTTTCCACTTCATAAAGAATCCCCAATTTCTTTTTATATTCTTGATTTTTTTAAGTGTTCCAGTGTTTTATAGAAAAAATGAGATATTTGATTCATCAGGGTAATTCAAAGAGTTGCCATGCAAGCTTCTAAGTTCAGTCTCCAGAACCTACCACAAGAGGAGAGAGTTAACACCAGGAGCATCCAATGACTCCACATGCTCATCATGGCATGCACACGCCTGCATTCACATCATACACATCCTCATGCTTACCATACTCACCATACCACCACCACCATCATCACCATCACCACAATCATCACCATCACCACTACCATCACCATCATCACCACCACCACCACCATAGGAAGTGTAATGTTTATTTGTAAAATGGGAAAATAAGAGGCAAATAGTAGCTAAATGCCTGTTAATGTTTTACATTATTTTTTAGAGAAATATTAATCCTGATTTTCTCTTTCTATATAGGCTAATCTACGCCAGAAAATTACTCACTCCGTACAAACTGACCTTAGTCACATGAGAAGAGATAATTCCTCACAGGTGTACCCTTTGAAAAATGTTAGCACCCAGTCCATGAGAGAAGGCAGCACTCGGGTGCCCAAGCCCCAGATTTTCATAACTGGTCTTCGTGGGGGACAAAGCAAAACAACCTACGGGGTAAAAGTAAACTTAACCAGAGCAGTGGATGAAACCTAGAGATGGAATTTTTAAAGGAAGCTGCTCCTGAATAGGAAGTATGGAAAAGAGTTGAAAATACTATACATGTACATAGTTAATTTTGTGGAGTGACACAGGCATTGGTTATGTGAATATGTATTAGAGCCCCATATCTTCCCTGAATGCTATAAAAACCTAAAAGCAATTTCTGTAGCACATTTCTTATTCTATTAAAAATGACAAATTAAACTTTGTTCATTTGTTTTATCTTTTAGAAAAAGTTTAGCAGCATATAGATTGAAATTGTAATGCCAGTTAGTTTAACAGTATGAGATGATTATCACTGGAATAGAGGCTATTTTTAAAATCCAACAAAATATTAAATATTAACACCTATTTTAAAGCACAGTACTTTCTGCTCATTAACTATTCAATGTTGACACATATTTCAATATAATGAGCCTTACTATCTGGAACAATTAAGGCCAGCATTCACATTACGCCTTCTAAAACCGAGAGATTTGATATTTATACCTGGATTTCAGGTTCCTTGAGGAAAAAAATATCAAAATACTTGGTAACACTGGCTGACATTCCAACTTAATCTAACCCAGAGTCTGCGGCATAGAGGCCTCTTCAGCATTATTTGACCCATAAGTGGCTGTGTTTGGGTTTATGTGAATTACTACACTTTAGGGTATAGTTGTATTATTCTTATATACTTCTAATACCAACTATTGGACAAGAAAGTTCCCAGGTGAAAGAAACTATCAGAATTAGGAGAAGGGGGTCATTTATATTTGGCCCATTTATTTTTGTTTGTACAGGTGATTTTTCTTTTTTCTTTTTGGCTGGGAAGGCATATGGCTCAATTAGAAGAATATTTGTCTAGCATGCACAAGGCCTTGGGTTCAGTCCCCAACATTGCATGAACTGTGCATGTTGGTACACAGAGGTAATCTTAGCATTTGAACAGCGGAGGCAGAAAGATCACAAATCCAAGGTTGTCATTGGACATATAGTAAACATGTGGCCAACATAGAATATGAGACCTTGACTTGGGGTGGGGGGAGGAAGCCTTGCTCTTTGCTGGTCTCTCTGACTTGTGTTCCCAGTTGTGCTTCTAGCTAGGGGACAGTAGGTGACTGTCAACAATCATGCCCCTTGGGCTTGACTGAGTCCATCTCACTGCTCCTTGAACCAGGTTTCCTGTATGGCCCACAGATGTGACATTCCTGCCACGTTGCCTCTGAATGTCAAAAGCTAACACTTCTACTTTATTTTGGACAAAGCTAGATACTTCCCCAACACCCAGTTCTTTGACAATGCTGTGGCTCTCTACTGGAGCTTGAGAAAAGATGACCCGAGTCACTCACTCATCTCAGATAAGGATGAGAACCCTAGGGATGAGATGGTAGCCAAGGCAACCACAGAGCCCATGAGACAATAAGTCTGCAAGGACGGAGCCCACGAGACAATAAGTTTTCCAGAGGAGAAACAGCAACAGAAATGTGTTGATGTAATTTGTTTTCTGCTTAGGTTAAACTTTATTTACAACATGAATATAACTTGAAATCTATTTTCCACAGGTACTATAATAAAAGTGAACTTCAAACATACCTTGTCATGATTTTTATATACACCTGAAGTTTTAAAATGATATTAGTGACAGGCTGACTGTTAAGACAAAGCATGGAGGATAGGATGGGGTTGGGTCATTATAGAACTTGATAAACTTTAAGAATTCAGGATTGTGAGTTTCATTTTTCAGTTATCCCTCATCCAAATTCATAAACACAAGCCACCATTATTTTAGAACTGGGGTTATCTTAGAGGTAGGGTTATCTTAAAATTGGGTTTGAATGGACTAATGAATAAAAACAGCAAGTACAAGTTGGAAAGCCAAACTTTTAGTTATCAAAAGCTCACTTGGGTGTGGAGAGGTGGCCCAGTGTAAGAGCTAGTACTGGTTTTGCAAATGACCTGAGTTTGTTTCCCAGCAGTGGAGGTCAGAGGGCAACTTCTGTGGAGTTGCTTATTGCCTTCTACTTTTTTTGTGGGTTCTGGGGTTCAAATTCAGGTGGCCAGGTTTGTGTAGCAAGCGCCTTTACCACTGAGCCATCCTACCAACCTTTGTATAGCTATTCTTTATTGTCAACTGTATACTATAAAAATTCTAATATTTAACTAGTTATTATATATCTAGCATATTTGAACTTAATAACCCCTTAAACTTTTAACTATTTATCTACACTCTTTTTTGCTTTAATACATTGATTGTCAATGAATAGAAATAAATATACTGAGCTTCTGTTTGCTTACTTCACAATGACTAATGCTTAAACAGAAATAGAAATAAGCAGGACCAAGGAAAATACTGGAGCTCACTAGTTACAATCAGAATACTATTAGTGTCGTAGATAATGAGAGCAATAGCTGCTTGATACCTTGAATAATCATTAATACATGTGACATGGTGCTTCATGTGTTAAAGGCTGTTAATTTTTACATGGTGTTTATGTAAAGATAGGTGTATGTGAAATATAATAAGTGAATATGTCCCACTAAATCTTCAAATAATGCAGAGTATGAAAGTAAAAAACAAAAAATTCTTGTGAATATGTCCCAATAAATCTTCAAAGTAATGCAGAGCATGAAAGTAAAAATAACTCAGACTCAGATTGTAACTATTTGTTTCAACATTAATTTGGTTGTTATGATAAACACAAATAAAGATAGCTACACAGTTAACAAGAAATATTTCTGCCAAGAACAGGATGAAACTGAAAAGTATAAGAATAACCATGTTTGCATATCTTCTAGTTTACTGAATAGGTCTTTTTTACAGTTGCTCACTGTTAGAGATTTTGATGATAAGTTATGTTAGCAAGCATGGGATACTCTAGTCTGTAAATGGAAGCTCTAAGTCACTTTGGTACAGAGGAACAGCATCAATGTCCAGCAGAGGTATAAAGGCTTCAGTGAAGGAGCCCCTAAGTACAACATCCCATCTCTATGGTAACTAGATAGGACTGGTTGTGTGGCAGATTTTTCCTGGAGACATACATAGCATGTATGTCTACTAACCCCACGAAGAGAATCCAGAGTAACAATTGGGGCAGTATCCTATTTGGTGAACCTATGAATACTTACGGGTTGCTAACAAGAATATGAGTGAGGGGCTACTCACAGGAAACAGGGCAAACTCAAAAATAAATACATCTCATCGATGAGAAGCCCACCCCAACATGACTCATGAAAATTGCAACCCTGGAGATCTTTGCCTAGCTTGCAGGCAGCTCAACAGTCTGGACATTTCTTTCCCCTGCCATTAGGCTGGTCAGAGTCTCCTACCCAAGTCTGTTGTTTGCTCATTTTTGTACAGCTAGGGAGTGATCCTGGAGAATATTTTCCTTTTCTGTACCCTCAGATATTTGATCTTTTGTTTACCTCCCAAGTCACATGAAAGCAAGATCCCCTAACTCCAATATTTCAATTCAAAGGAAACTGCTCTTCAACAACATTTTTTACCCACAATACTGCTCTCAGTCTATTAAAAATATTGTGAATGTCATGCAAGCTTATCCTTCCTTAAAATTCTGTAAATATGCCTTTTATTTGCTTCTAAAGGTATTTAATGATTCCTGTTATGGTCATATTTTCTCATTAGCATGGGCCAATAAACCAGTATTGTATAGTGAGTCTTTTTCTGTTTCACCAGCCAGCTCCCAAATAAAAGACACAGAGGCTTATTATTAATTATGAAAGCTTGTCCTTTAGCTTAGGCTTGTTTTTAACTAGCTCTTATAACTTAAATTAACTCATATTTTTATTAATCTATATTTTATCACATGGCTTTTACTTCTGTCCTATTCCATGCATCCCACTTGTTTCTCCCCATCCCCTTTTGGAGCCTGCCCTGGAACCCTGTATATCAGGCTGGTCTCGAACTCACAGAGATTTGCCTGCCTCTGCCTCCTGAGCCAGTGATCAAAGGCGTACGCCATGCCCACCCAGCTCCATGCCCCTCTTTGTGCCTCCCCATTCTTCTCCTTCCCAGATCCCTCTCTGTCTCTGAAAGTCCCATCTATACCTCTTGTCTATATTGGCCATTTAGCTCTTTATTAAACCTATCAGAAGGTGCCTGGCAGAGGCACATCTTCATGGTGTACAGAAAGATTATTTCACAGCAATACTGTGGTTTTACAGGCTTGCTCCTAAGGGTCTTAGGCTAATTGAGTTGGGACAGGGGTATTAAATTCATACAAATGGAATAGAATGTCTTTTGTGCAATGAATAAGCTAGGATTCGGGTTGGACAGTGGTGGTGCATGCCTTAAATTATAGCACTCAGGAGGCAGAGGCAGGTGGGTCTCTAGGTTTGAGATCAGCCTGGTCTACAGAGTGAGTTCCAGCACGGTATGTGCTATACAGAGAAACCCTGTCTTGAAAAACAAAGCTAAACAAACAACAAAACAAAAAAGATAGGATTCAGTAAGATTCGTGAACCAAAAATACAACAAAAAATGATTCATCCAATAGTATTGTGAATGTATGCGTGTGTGTACACATACATAATATTGTTCACCATGAGTCATGGTTCCTTTAAGTAATGCTGGGTTAGGACAGAAAACAAAAGCAAACACATGCTCAAGATTTGTTTGCAACTTTTGTTGTCAGAAATATAAATAAAAGCTTGTGGAGAACCCCAAAGCAAAGTTAGCATCTTAACAGCCATCTTTCCTACCACTCTCTTAGATACTAACATACTGGTAATTTTCCATTCCCCTCTGACTGTTTTCTGTTAAGCATGACACAGCCTGACCCTGAAAGATTCTCAGCTGCAGGTTTATTGTATAGCAACTTATCTTATAGCAGAACACCTGCATTCTGCTTGGAAGGACGTTCTGCCTCCCTCACATCCTCCCTTTGGCCCATTCCTTCATTTCTTCACTACTTAAACCCTGTGGTTATATTCAACAAACGAGACTTGATCAGAATACTGTTTGTCTCCATCTCTCAAGTCTCTTGTCCCCTCATTCTCACTCCCTCCCTCAGGGTCCCTGTCGACTGACCCCACGGGCCAGAGAAAAGGCCATATAGATTTTAAAAAGGTGAAAGCTTACAAGGACTGTAATTGGACAATCTGAATATCATCAACAGAATAGCTAGCTAAAGAACATTATTTTCTGCCCTATTTGCATCTCTTGGTCTGGGGAGATGCTAGAGGACATAGGCTGGGGAAGGTATGTATTAAGGCTGAGTATGTGGACATGGTGATATCATCGTCTGTGCTGGTGATGTCATCATCTGTGCTGGGTGGAGACTACAGTGCTGCTGCTTTGGGGTTGTCCACATTCCGGTCAGCAAACCCTCATTTCAGTTCTGACTTGAAGCTTTCCATGGCTCAGGGCTGTTCTTGCCCTGCAAGCTCCAGCTCCACTGGCATCTCTACTTGAGACTTGGATCTCTATCCCCTCAGCCCACAGAGTTGTCAGGCTTAGAGTGGGCTGGCTCCTGTGATACAGCCTAGAAACATCTCCAGGGGATGAGTGGCCTGACTTCACATTTCTTTCAGCACCATTGCCACTTATTGTCTAATGTCCAGCCATTGTAGAATAGTTATTTAATTATGTAAAGATATGTTGCATTTATGGTGCAGAATAATTGTTTAACTATGTAAAGATGTGTTGCTTTTGTTTATGCTTCATTTGTCTAACTATGCCTTGCTGTTTTACCTTGCCTGCCTAAGGCATCTGATTTGTTTAATAAAAAGCTGAATGGACAATAACTAGGCCAAGGAGGGATAGGCGGGGCTGGCAGGTTGAGAGAAAGTGGACAGTACATAGATGAGGTAAACAAGCCTAAGCTAAAGTTGGGCATTCATAATAAGTATCTGTCATGATTTGGGAGATATAGCTACATTCAATGCCTTGAAGATCATTGTCATGGATGCTTCTGTTTCAATAGCTGCTTCAGTTGAGAGGACAAGAGTAGTCTCTTTTGCCTCTGGTTTGATTTTCCTTCTTGCTACACCTTTCTGGCCATAAGTAGACTTTACCTAAGAAATAAGAATCTAAATATAGCTTTGAAATCAGAAAATTTGTTACGGGTTTTCAGACAATTCAGAATGTGCAGAAAACACTGGAAACAGGATTGTGATGCTAAGTAGAGAACACAGTCCACCATTGGGCTTCTTAAACAGATTTTTATGTTTTTGGTTGTGAGCCTAGCCTTTAACGGCTGAGCCATCTCTCCAGCCCCTTAAACAGATTTTTAAAGGAATGGTAGTACTTAGTGAGGTTACACCAAAAGTTTGTGCTAAACCAAAGAGTAAGCAACTGAATACTTTCACCAGTATGAACTATACCAATCACAGGGAAATGTGATTAGCATGAGTGAGCACACATACAGCCAAGTTAAGACTTAATACTATTCTAGAAATGAGATAATGAAATGTCAAACTCTACAGTCAGTGCTAGGACTGAGAATATAGCTTAGTTGTAGTTTTTTTTTTTTTTTTTTTTTTTGACTAGCATGTATGAGACCTGACTCCCTTTTTAGATAAAGTGTGTCTGGATGCATCTACATCATATTAATATATGATAAGTAAGTTTCCAGTCATGTTAAGAAGATACATATGTATGTGTTGTGTGTACAATACTTATAGAATGGTTTATATAACATGTACCCCACAACTCTGCAAAGAGGATTTTCATGAAAAATTGTGCTTTTCACTCTTTACTATTCAGGCTTTTGGGGGGCTTGCTACTCAGCTTCCAAATAAATCACATATGGAGGCTTATCATTACTTACAAATCTCCAGCCTTAGCTTGTTTCTTGCCAGCTTTGCTTAAATTGTCCCCGACTACCTTTTACTTCAGGACTTTTTCCTTTTCTTCCTTCTGTATGTCTTATTTTCACTCTTACTCTGTGTCTGACTGGGTATCTGCCCCCTGATGTCTTCCTCTCTGTTCTATCTCTCCCTCTCTTCCTTGTTTCTCTTTCTATTTAGTCTCTCTACCTGCTAGCCCAGCCTATCCTTTCTCCTACCTCACTATTACCCACTCTGGTCTTTATTAGAACCATCAGTTGTTTTAGACAGGCAAAGAATCACAGCTTCACAGAATTAAACAAATGCAGCATAAACAGAAGTCACACACCTTAAAATAACTTTCCCCAGCAGCTAAAGGTGGAAGCTATTGGGTATCTCAGAATCCCATATCCCTGTTACTGTAAGGGCTGATATACCTATCTTTTTCTGTGTGCTTGGTACAACATCTTCTGACGTGGCCCAGGCTGAACCTGGAACGCAGATTTCTCCTGTCTAGGCCCCTCAAATCCTGAAATTACGTGCATGTGCCACCAACCCCACATCAATACACATATATTTCACCGCGAGATTATTTCCTAACAACATTGTCTAATCACAGTAACCATTATAGTGGTTGAAGTGCCGATTAATACATCTTTTTGTTGTCCTTTTGCTGACCGAAGATCATGTAGTTACCATGTCAGGCTAGACCGTGACAGTAAGAATATTGAAGATGCAGACACAAAACTTGCGAGCAGTATATAACGTCTACTTAATTTATCCAAGAGGTAACAAATGGGAGGCCGTGATGGGGGTGGAAGTTCGAGTTCTCAGAGCTCTTCTAACGGTCTGCACTCAAACGAACAACCAAGAGCATTCCGAAATCTTTTTTTAATCTTTTTGGACTGCCCGAAATCCCCAGCCGGAAACGCTCGGCCACGTTGACCCCGCCTCCTCAGCGGACCGGAAGCTGCGGTTTCCAGGCCCCCCCCCCCCCAGACCGAGTTTCCCCAGACTTGTCACTGCACATGCGGCCGCTTCCGCTGCCGGCAGCGCTCTCCTCCTAGCGGGGCTGGGGCGGCGGGCTCTCTAGGCCGGCGCGTCTCTATGGCTGCAGGGGCGGTAGTTCCGCAGACTGTCTCGGCACCATGGCTCAGGCGAGAGGTGAGGCCGGGGAGCTGGGACCAGGGGAGGGCACCGCGGCGACCGGGGCGGTGCGGGATGCACGGTCTATGGGGGCCAATCCCTCGCCCAGGGCTGCGCCGGCACTCGGCTGGGTGAGCGGCCCCGGCCCCGGCGCCGGCCAGGCCCGGTCGGTCCTGCTGCCAGGCTGTGGTTCCTGGGCACTGGGTCTAAGGGGGCGCGCTCTGTGCACTTCTCAATGGCCGGCAGGCTGGCCAGTGCTTTGGTGACAGCCTTTCCAAGTTTTAGGTAAGCTGGACCCAGGGTGAGTTTTTGTTCTGTAGTACTGTGGAGCGGAGAGGTCTAGAGGCGGTGGGGGTTTTTGTTTGTTTCTATTTTGCTAGCGCGGGATCAGCGCTACAGGGTCTCATTCTGTAGCACAGGTTGGCTTCAAACTCGGGGAGATCTTCCTGCCTCAGTTTCCCAATTGTTGGAATTAAAAGTCTGAACCACCATACCTGGCATATCGCTTGGCTTTAAGACTAAATAAATGTTGGACAAGTATTTAAAGAATATCCGTTGTGTGGACGTGGAATTATTTATCTTGTGGGGGAATTAACATTTAACATCAGGCGCGAGGTACGTTCGTTTTCTGTGGTTTTTGTTTCTCTTATGCATGGTCCCATTTCAGGTAAAACCTGTAGCAACTCAGGAAGGGAGTTCTGTTCTGACAGTATGTAGAAGGCGAATGACAAGTGAGCACTTAAACATTACAGAAGGCAAATCAATACCTAAAGGGTTGTTAACAGTTCACAGATTTAGACTTACTGTCAGTACATACTTTGCTACTTTTGGTTGTGTTGCACGTTTTATCCTAATGAAATATAGTTTGTATGCCTCCGTAGAGTCGTCTCAAAGATTATTTACCAGATACTTCTTGAAATGTCCAAGCTTTCAGGTATGACAAATAATACTCCCCATAAAATGTAACTGGAAAACAAAACTTTAACTCCAGACTGTCTTTTGGGGATATTTCCCACCCAGAAACAAGTGCCATGGAAGCTAATGGGTTTTTGGCAAGAGGGGAGTGCTAGGTGAGTTGTGGGCCATGTTTCTAGTTAATGCTTTATCATGATTTGAATTCTTAGGAAAGTTTAAAAGTTACTTACATAAGCCATGGATTTTTATATTACCCCGAAAACGTCGAAATTTCTAATAAATGAAATTTTCATACTGGAAAATTGGGAATGAAGAAATGTTTTGATCTAATGGAACTGTCAGTGAAACCATGGTTAAAAAGCATTGGTTTTAAAATTGAAATATGCTTTGAAAGTGGTATTATATGCCAAAGTCCTGTATGTTTTATAGTATCTAAATCTACACTTTTCTACTTTGACTAATAATTATTTTCAAGAATATGTTGGCAAATATTTCCATCATATTGGTGATTTTAATAACCTACAATGGTTCATGGCTATTAATACCAGCACTTAGGAGGCAAAGGCATGCAGACAGAGCTCCATGAATTCAAGGCCAGCTTGCTCTACATAGTGAGTTCCAGTCCAGCCTGAAATACATAGAGAGCAAGAAGGAAAAAAAGATGGAATAGTATGTTTTCTGGAGTAAATGCTATGTTTAGTATTTTAAAATTCACTGTCTTGTTTTATGGAACCAGGGACCTATATCATACTTATATGTGAGTTTGCACTCCTCAGTTATGAGAATATTGATTGATAATTCAGGACACACACTGATGGGTAATCTTTCTGTAGAGAGCTGTTAGTCTCTGCCATGGCTGCTGAACCCTGCCATTGTAGCATAAATGTAGTCAGGATAATTCAGGCAAATGAACATAACTATCTTCCAATAACACTTTATTGAAATCTGAATTTATAATTTCCATGTGTTTTCAGATGGGACTTAAAATTTTTCTATTCAATTGAAATCATAAATCTATTGTGATCATATAAAAATATGGGATGATGTAGTTTGCTTTCTTTTGCACTGACCTATGAAATGTTATTGCTGCATATTTTTAGAGTCATAAACTTTCATAAGAAAGTTTTAGAACAATGAAAGTATTATAATGGCTTCCTTCACTTATTGCTTATCTGGCTTGTTGGGCCTTTTAGAAAGGAGATACAAATAGTTATGAGATATTTCTTTTCATATTTGGTATAATTTTAAGACTTTGTCTAGAGTTTGTCTACAATTTACAAATTATTCTTTAAATCACCAAGGAGGAAATATTTATCTGAAGACACTTTCCTTAAGTTTTAATAATCATATTTTAAAGTAACTGTTTGAAACATCTATTTTATTTACCTATGATTAGGTATAATTACCTATGGTTATGATTCCAAAGGAGGGAACAAAAGCATATTTAACACATAAGGCAGTTAAAAAATAGCATCCTTAAGTTCACCCAATGTCCTTATGATTCTTAAACTGGGATTAGCAAAGTAGGACCCAACTTAATAAGCCTCCTTATTTATGTATGACTCATGAGCTAAGAACAGTGTTCCCAGGTGGACACTTGCAATTGATTTGGTGACAAAACACTAACTTTGAATACCAAGTAAATGAAGTGTTACCTCCAAAGAATTCTATTCTCATGAGTATATCTCAGTTATAAGAATCAGATTCATTTATAAATAATAAAAATCAATTGTGAGAATTGGTTTTCTCATGTAAATCTTACATGATACCCTAAGTTTTGTCATGAAAAGAAAACAGAAATAATTCGAGCCTTGGGTGATTGCAGAAGCAGAGCAGGGGTGGGGGGTGAGAGTGGATTTCCCCAGTGACTGTAAATTTACCAAAGGTGTTGGACTATCTTTGGCACCTGAGTGATGGCTGCTATATCTTGCATTTCAAGTTGTATAGAGGTTTTTGTAGGTACTTTTTGTGTTAACCAATTACTTTCAGATAATGGAATGAAACTGAGAAGTTAGATATAGTTTGTTTTGGATTTTGAGTTAGTTCTATATAAATCTCTCTCTCTCTCTCTCTCTCTCTCTCTCTGTGTGTGTGCTTGAGACAGGATCTTTAGGATATAATGCAGGCTGGTTATAAAGCTACATCTTTATGTATTAGATGTTCTACAGCAGTACTTTTCTGCTAGGGACATTTTTTTTTTTTTTTTTTTTTTTTTTGCCCCAGGAGGTACATAAGCATGATCCTGGTGCCTCAACCTCTGAGGTGCTGGATTTGCATACATATACCATTGCAGTGATCTTAAACTGCACTTTGGTTACTCAGCTATTCCTTTTGTTTTCTTTCTGCTGCCTTCAAGAGCATCTTTAGAGGTTCTAGCAGGGGAGCTCAGCCATGCTTTATACCCATGATGAGGAGCTTCCACCTGGAAAGTTTTTCCTTTTTGACTGAGGGTAGAGTAGGAGTGTTACATGGAATGCCCTTGAGGTGGTGAGGAACGAAGGCAAGACTGCTTATCTGGCCACACAGCCACATCAACCCTTGTTAGTGGAATGACAAATGTAGCCAGAGAGGCCTAGAGTCTGTCTTGAGATTTAGAATGTATTGTGATTGCTTTGATGCTTTGTTTTCACAGGTTTATAATCATAAAGATAATTATGTATTTTATAACAAACTTAAATTAAGGTTGGTATGTCACATAACTGTACAGTTGGGGGCACTAAACAATATCTGTGCCTTATTTGTATGGAGTTTTAAAGTCAGCAGTATTTGGTTTTGGTAACTGGAAAGTATTATTTGGAAACTGAATTTTAGATGTCAGTGTTTAAACAATATTTAGTGCTAGAAATTGGAAAGCATTATGGACTAACTAGTTTATTAGCATTATATATATATATATATATATATACACACACACATACACACACAATAATATTTTTATTGCACATATTTTCCAGAAAATGTCAGTTTATTCTTCAAGCTATACTGCTTGGCAGTGATGACTCTGGTGGCTGCAGCTTATACCGTAGCATTAAGATACACAAGGACAACAGCTAAAGAACTCTACTTTTCAACCACAGCCGTGTGTGTCACAGAAGTTATAAAGTTACTGATAAGTGTTGGACTTTTAGCTAAGTAAGTAAAAATACTTCTAGTGTATTAAATTATTTTTAATCTCAATTAAGGTATTGAAAATTCAAGTCACATCATCATGTATTAGATTGTTCTAAAGCAGTACTTTTCTACTAGGGACAGTTTTTACTACCTCCGGCCTTTTCCCTCCCCTCCTGGAGGTACAGTTTTGGGTGTATATCATAATAGGTATGTACTGGTGGACAGGGGACAGGAATTCTTCTACATATTTATCATGCAGTGCCTACAACAGCCCTCGAAATCAAAGGCTTGTCCAGTCCCCAATATTGGTAATGTTGAAACTGAAGAAAGCAGGGATTGGCAAATTGTGATTTATGGCCCAAATGCAGACTGTTGTAGGATTTTTTGTTTTTTTCTTTTTGTTTTGTTTTGTTTTTCTGTAGCAGAAACTCTATTGCTCATCAAACCTATGCTATTTGACCTTTATAGAAAAATGTTTTGATCTGGTTTATAGGAGTAAAGTGATAATCATAAATATTTTATGGGTGTTTCCTGTGTGTTAAGTACCAGGCACTGTGCTAGGTGCTTTTCAGTAATTTCATTTAATTTTTAAACACTTGACATACTGATGTGGTTTATCAATATAACATGTGAAGTGCATGAAGATTATGCTGCTGACATGTGACAACACAAAGTGCTTTGAATACCATAGAAGAGTCATTTTAGCTGAAGTTTCAGGAAAAGGGAGGCTAGCAATAGGATTCCAAGTAAGACAGACACAGTTTTATTCCCAGATTTATGTGGCTGTGGCTTCTTTGAAGTTTTTTTATTTTTTTGTTCATCTCTTCACTGGAGAAGATAATATGGGATGCTGAGAATTAAATAAAAATTCAGTACAACACGGATCCTAAATGACTTGGGGACTTGTAAGGCAAGGATCTACCTATTTAACTCAATGGGGCAGGTGAGAATTCATGTATGTTGGTGAGAGTGGGAAGCAGTGTAGGCTTTTAGGTAGAAATAGGCAAATTAGATTTAAACACTTCTTGATGGGGGATGTCCTTCTGTATATATGTGTCTCCTATTGGTTGATGAATAAAACACTGTTTGGTGAATAGAGGCAGGAAGATAGGCAGGGCAAGGAGAGGAGGAGAATTCTGGGAAAGGTAGGCAGAGGGAACCCACCAAGAACAGTCGCCATGTAGTCAGCAAAGGAGTTGCAGGTCCGGGCATTCTCCAGTAAGTCAAGACCACGTGCAAATACATAGATGAATAGAAATGGGTTAATACTTAAGACAGAGCTAGCCAATAAGAAGCCCTAGCCATCGGCTAATAGTTTTATAATTAATATATAGTGTCTCTGTATGTTTATTTGGGGCTGAAGTGGCAGTGGGACTTGCCGGGGCAAGAAAAGCTCCAGCAACAAAATGGCTAGCTCAGTCAGTAAAGCATGGGACTCTTTATCTCAGGGTCGTGGGTTTGTGCCCCATGTTGGGTACTAATATGTAAATGAGTTCTTAATTGGTCTAGATAATAAAGAGCCGGAGTCAAATATAGAGGGAAATGCTGAGAGATCAGAGAGAAGGAGCAAGCCATGACACACCTTATCCCCTGAGCATCTCAGCAGAGAAGAGAGCGATTTTCTGTTTCTCCTTGCTTATATCCTGTTTCTGCCCAGCTCCATCATTTCCTTTCTGTCTGTACAGACTTCTAGACTTCTATGGTTAGCCAGTGGCAAACTCCATTCTCTGACCCCCAAACAGGCTTTATTTGTGCAAACAAGATATCGCCACAATTTCTAAACTCATTTCACAAATCTATTCAGTAGTTTCCAGGTGCTGGATTTCCAGGGATGAAATAAATATGGTCATTGCCTTCTTGACACACAGATTTAGTAGAAGAGACAGAAAATCAAAGCAAAACAAAACAGTAGCAGTTTCAAATAATCATATGAAGAAGGGTACTCTAGCAGTGGTTTTGGGAGGGAGAAAAGAACAGAAAAATGTAACTTGAGGTGGATGGTAGAGGCTTTTAAATTGAATTTAAAATTTGTCTTATAAGTAGAGGCACTGGTGTACATGTTTAGTGAAACCCTAGGCCTTCTGTGGAATGTTTATTTTTCTAGAAATTTATCTTTTATAATGTTATTCTTCATGTGGATGGTATCAGCTGGGAATTCTTACTGTACCTTTAAAAGGCAGTATTTCAATGATAAAAGTCAATGTGTAAAAATCCAGAACAATCTTCATAGAACAGCCAGTCTTACAACTGATCTTCTTTTTGGGTTTACCAACTTAAAGGGACAGAAAACAACTGTAACTCAGGACTTCCAATAGAAGGAGCACACCATAGACTTTTATATTTCTTACCATTTTTGTCTTTGCTACAGAATCTTACTAGGTAACCAAGCCTGGCTATGAGCTTTCTATAGCTCATAGTCCCTTTGCCTCAGCCTTCTGAGTGCTGAAATAACAGGCACATGCTATCATGTCTCATAACTTACATTTTAGTTGTTTGTTTTGTAAGTGTTACAAATATTAGAAACCAGTATGTAAAGATTTCACATGGTGATACATTCTATTCCCAGCACTTGAGAGACAGAAGCAGGTGGGTTTCTGTGGTGTACAGGGTACCTTGGTCTATATCTAGAATTCCCAGGCTATCAGGGCTACGTAATGAGACTCTGCCTCAATAAACAAACAAGAACAAAAGCACAAAACCAAACTATGGGTTGTGGGGGAATGGGGCTGGAGAGATGTCTCAGTGGTCAATTGTACTTGCTGCTTTTCCTGCGGACCCAAGTTCAGTTCCCAGCACCTATGTTGGACTGCTCACAATCTCCTGTAAATCTATCTGGTCTGTGTTCGATGCCCTCTTCTGCTTATCTGTGAGCATACATACACACACACACACACACACACACACACACACACACACACACACACACGTGACATTCACACACATGCATGCATGCCATAAGGAAAAATAAGCTTAGTGGCCGGAGAGATGGCTGATTTTGCAGAGGACCATGACTGAATTCTTAGCATCTACATGACAATTTGACTCTCAGTACAAATCTAGTTTATGGTCTCTGTGGCACCAGCTGCACACATGATGCATAGACAGCATATAGCAACACACTGACACACATCAAAAAGAATCTTAAACAAAAATTTCTTAAACACAAAGATACTAAAGCTGATTCACATTTTGAATTTATATTTGTTTGAAAATCCATTGCCGTAATGATAAAATAGTTTTTAGATATAAAAACGAAATTGTTTTTGTTGGTGTTCAAAGTAGAAAGCATATTTTATCAGAGAAAGACTTTTTTTTTTTTTTTTCAGGATAATTATGGAAATATGTGGAAGAATTCCATGAGAAAGATAAAGGTTTTCACCTACTATTTAGAAAGAGGAAGTAATGAAGGAAAAGCTTACTCCTTTATCTGCTCTTATGACAAAGTACAGTAGAGTGGATCTGTACATAAACTTATTTTATGTGTGTTTCAGTTTAAAAACACTTCTTAATACTATAGTTCGGGTAATAAATGTTCACTAAAGGCCTATTATTTGGCCCATTAAATGCCTTATCCCCCTAGTACAGTGACTTGTAGGAGGCTTTTAGTATATTGGGGTATGCCCTCAAAGGTAATGGCAGGACCCTGGTCTCCTTTTCTCTTTCACTTTTTGGCCACAAAGTGAACAATTGGTGGGTACTTTGTTCCCCGTGTAATGAGCTGTCTAGCCCAGAGTAATGGGGCCAACTGAAAGCTCCAAAACTTTGATCCAAAATAAAACCTCACTTTTAACAGGTGATTCTGTTTTATTTAAAATGGGAGTTAACACATTTAATATATGTTACTGATTAACTGGCATTGAACTCAGGGTTAACTATGACTCGTGTGAACAAAGCTTATTTACTACATGTATTTTTTTTCATATTGCATTATAGCCACCAGACACTTATATCAGTAGGTTCTTTTTACTTTAGTGTACCACATTTGGGGGCTGTTTTGAACAATAGCATCACCAACAATCAGCATTAAGATGTGACAAATGTAGCATTAAACACAGATTATAGTCTGTTTACTTTGTACTTTTCTTGTCCAGACCCTGAATTTACAAGTTTTTTTTTTTTTAAAGAAATATCTCTTGTTCCTTTGTAACCACCCCTCCCCAATGGTATTTAGACACCAGAATGTAGGTATTAGTTACACATGTTGCTGCTGCACTAGCCTTTCTTCTAGATTAGTGTTTCTCAACCTATGAGTTGTGACCCCTTTGGGTGTTGACTGACCCTTTCACAGCAGTCACCTAAGAACATTGGAAAACCCAGTTATTTACATTGTGGTTCATAAGCAATGAAAATAATTTTATGTTTGGGATCACTATAACACATGAGGAACTGTATTAAAGGGTTGTAGCATTAAAGGTGGGAAGTATGTGCTGGTGCAGACATACTTGTGCAAGTCCATCTCTTGGCAGCATACTTAACAGTTATGTTCAGCACCATCAGGTTTTCCATCTTCCCATCACTCATGTTTCCTTCTCCAGGGCTGATGACCTTAGTTCCTGTTATCCTCACATATTTACTAATTTGCTTAATCCTGGAATATATAATAGATTTAAGAATTTCTGGGCAAAAAAAAAAAAAAAAATTCTGGGCTGTACAAATGTCTCAGCAAATGGTAAAGGTGCTTGCTGCCAAGTCTGATGACCCAAATTTGATCTTTGGGCCCACATGATGGAAGGACGAACTGACTACATGAACATTTATAGCATGGAAAAATATGAATATGTACACCCAAGTACATAAATGCGATTAAAAAATTACAAGGATTTTCTTTTCTTGTTTGAGACAGGGTTTCTCTGTGTAACCATCTGGCTATGCTGGAACTTGCTGTGTAGACCAGGCTGGCCTCGAACTCATGGAGATCCGCCTGCCTCTGCCTCCAAGTGCTGGGATTAAAGGTGTATGCCACCACCACCCATCTTTAAAAGGATTTTCTAATACCAGTTACTGATGTTCAGTAACCTGGATGCAGTTCTTTTTGCTTTAAGTGTTAGATCCTGTAATGAATAACATGTGTTAGGGTGGTTGGATTTTCTTTTCCTCAGAAATAGAATTTTTTTTTTGCATTTATGGTTTTTGTTTTTACTTAGTTTAGGATTCCTCCGTTCTTACTGATTTTACTCATAGTTTTCCAGAGTCTTTGGAATATGAAATTATATTTACTTTAACCTGAAATTAGAACTTCAAGAAGAAAAAGAGGGGTGTGTGGAAGAATATATGTATTCAACAAAACTTATGTTGTCTAATTAGTGAATTTTACTTACATGCAAGAAAGGGCTGGGCACTGAGTGTGTTGTACACTAACTGTTGTGCTCCACTTTACTGAAGTTAATATACTTAAGTGTTTTATTGTCACTTTTCAAATATGAAATTTTCAAATCAGTACATAGAAATCTCTCTCCAAAGTGCATTGTATTCCACTATTTGGATGTATGGTATATGCCAGTCATCATTCATAGATATTTGGTTTGTTTCCAGTTTTCTCCTACTATATAACTAAAGACTCAGTGATTTTCCGTGTACATGATTCTCGTGCACTTACGTGATTATATCAAATCACTTTCTTCTTTCTGTTGTTCTTTGAGATGCTGGGATTGAACCCAGAGTTTTACCTATGCTAGGCAGCTAATTTACTACTGAAGTCACTTTACCTCAGATCACTTTATAATTAAAAATAAATCAGTAAATTGTGTTTTGAGGGAAAAGGGACAGATCAGTAGTGATAGTACAAAGGCTCTCTATATAGATAAGTTGGTTTGTTTTGATAATTGATAACTATAATTTAAAATATAAAGCACATCTTTTAAAGATATTTTTGTTTGCTCATGAAACTGATTTAGTAGTTCCATAGGAAAATCACTTATTAGCTATATGCTCTACTAATCCCTTTGAAACCTATTAACACTGATGGTGCCATTTAAATCTGCCTTTGGTAGAGTAATATAAAGGAGGTGAAGACATTTCCATATTGCCTTAGAAGAGAATTGGTGTAGACTGAAGTTTCTGTTCTGCCCAGTCCTGCAGCCCTTTATTCCCAAATAAACACACAGAAGCTTATCTTAATTATAAACTGTTTGGCCTGTTGCTCAGGCTTCTTTCTAAGAAACTCCCACAGCTTAAGTTAACCCACAATTATTATCTATGTTTAGCCACATAGCTTGGTACCTTTTCTCAGTAAGGCATTCTCATCTTGCTTCCTCTGTGTCTGGCTGGTGATTCACTCTCTGCCTTCCTTTTCCCAGAATTCTCCTAGTCTGATAGCCCCACTATACTTCTGCCTGAGTACTAGCTAATCAGTGTTTTATTAAACCAAGGTGACAAATCTTTACAGTGTACAAGAGCATTATCCCACATCAAATTGTCTTTTTGTTGTTTGCTTTTCCCCACATTCCACAGATGGCATGGCCCTAGCAGGATGTATAAATGTTAATAGACTTTGGATGTCTTCCATACATCTTTAAGCTACTTATCTATATAAGATTACAAAGGAGTCTTTACTGTTTTATAGTATCATAAAATCTGGCAAATAAGTTGTAGATTTTTCTAGCCTTTATTCTTCCTGTTGGGTGGACATTTTCTCTGTCTCTTAGTTCCCATGCTGGAATGTGTTCAGAGACATAGGGAGGAAATATAAATCATTTACCTCACATAATGGGTATTTCCTCATATAATATGCCTTAATTTTCAATATACCAAACTTTGCAGATAAGAAATTTGTACAAAAAGCTGAAATCTCTTAAGATCACAAGTAACTTCTGTGTTCCAGGACTTGGTAACTCAGTCAAGGATTTTACCCTTTCAGATCATTTTTTATTAGATGGGGCCTACTTTGGCTCAGAAAGAAAGAATTGGTTTCATCATGAATTTTCTTGGTTTTTTTTTTTTGGGGGGGGGGTGTTGAGGCAAGGTTTCACTCTGTAGTCAAGGATGTCTTAGAAGTAGTTTAGGCTGGCCAGTTCTGTTCTGTGGATATCTGAAAAAGTGTCACTGATAGCATTGAATCAGCCTCTTATCTCTAAGAGTTGATGGAAAATACGGATTAGAAAAGGATTATAGCCATTATGCTATAGCCTCTGATGGATCAATATGAACCCTATTGGAGCAGGACAGATGAAGGAGAAAGTAGGAAGCTGCTGGTGGTGTACACACAGTATTGCTCAGGGAGCCATTCTGAAGATGTAGTATGCAAGTCAGTATTTTAAAAGACCACTAAAAGTAATAGTTTATACATGTAAGAATTATATATGTACTGTCTGTCATTTGATGCTGATTACTGGCAATTATGAAAAACTATTAAACTATTGTGTTTTCTAATACATCATCTTTTAAGAGGGTTACTTAGTGTCTCAGCCTCTTTTCCTGTTGCTGTGACAAAATACCCTAATAAATACAAGAGACAAAGGGTTTATTAAGTTCACAACTACAGATTGTAACCCTCATGGCAGGGAAGTCACAGTGACAGTAACTAGAGGCAGCTGATCACATTGTGTCTACACCCAGAAGAGTGTCTAGACTCAGAAGAGAACAGGGAATACATGATTACTAGTGCTCAGCTCATTTTCTTTACTCTTAACACCGATGAGAATTGCCTTCTGAGGGAGTGGTGATACCTATAGTAGGTAGGCCTTCCCAACTTAACGAAAACAATCGACGGTTCTCCACACACAAGCCCACAGGTCAACTTAATCCAGAAAATACAATCAACAATTCTCCACACATAAGCCCACAGGTCAACTTAAAAATCCAGAAAAATTTCTCATTGAGTCCTTTCCTAGGTGATTCTAGATCGTGTCAAATTGACAATTAAAGTTAACCATCATACTTGAATGTGACCTCTTGGTAGTTATTTTAATTTTATAATGTAGGAGAAAATACTCTGGTTAAGATGTTAGTCAAATATACAGTACATCTTACACATGTATGAGAAAGCAACTGAGGACTTGGATGTAGATCAGTGGTGGAACCCTTGCCTAGAATGTGCAAAGAAAGCCTCAGTTACCCCACTCCCTCACCAAAGAAATTTGTTAGGATTCCCCCAACCCAGACTGCACAGAACTTTTCAGCATATGAATATAACATTGTAATGTGGAGACTGCTGAACTTGGTAATACATCTATAACTGAGAAAAAAGTTTTGCATTTCTATGGTCTAGACTAAATTTCCTGTCTTAAGTAGCACATTTTCTTGAGGGGTAGTATGTTCTACAGTGAATACATAGAAATAATCAATTTGATACAGTGGGCCAAAATTTTGTCGCCTGTCCCAGAACTTAGGTAATTGTTCTTACAGCATTTAAATAAGAAAATATTTGCAAGTGTTGATTAAATGCTAATAAAAAACAGGCTCATTGTGATTATCATAAATGAGTATGGTTCTTTATGGGTTACATTTAGGACTATTTTGATGCTGCATGCTTTTAGGAATATTGATGCTTATTATATAATACTGTTTTTTATATTTAGAAGCAAATGAGGTTATTTTCTGTAGGGGAAGCATAAGCCAGATTAACCAGTCTTGGGGGGGGGTGGGGTTGAGGGGTTGGGGGTAGGGAGTGTTAAGGCCATATATAACCAACAGGCTTTTTTTGTACATTACAGATATAGTTTGCTTTTATTGAAGTTAATCAGGTTTCGAGATTTCCTATAAAATTATGTAGATTTGACATATTTTGAGAGTATGTTTACATGTAGATTTATCACCCATTGTATTTAATCAGCACTGAATAAATTCATAAATAATAAGAATCACTTGTTTCCAAATCCAGGTTATATAACCACTATAGCCTACTCTTATTTTGCATTTAAATGTATAATTTGAAAGATACTTTAAAGATATGGCTACTCAGCCTGATCAGTTACAAAGATACTGAGGTATACTTGTTACAATAGAGTTAAAGTGGCTGAGAATTTATTCTGTCTTCTGGTATCTTTGGAACTTTGATCAGATGATTTTGGTGATTTTTTTCTTCTAATTAGAAATTTAAGTTGTTTAAAATGGGAACAAGTTATAGGTTTATTTTATTAATAAACCTAAAATTAGTGACAGTTCAGTGGCTTGGTCAGTTTATGGGGCCACTGGCAGTGCATGAACTAGCTTTTGGACCCCATTCCCTATGGAGGGATACCTTGCTCAGCTTAGATACAGGGGGAGGGCCTTGGTTCTGCCTCAAAGTGATGTGACAGACTTGGTTGACTCCCCATGGGATGCTTCACCCTCTCAGAAGAGTGGATAGGGGGTATAGTGGAGGGAAGGAGAGGGAGGGGGAACTGGGATTGGTATGTAAAATAAAAATAAAAGAGTATACTCTAAATTACATCAGAAACATACTATGTGTGGAATCTCATTAAAAGAACGCTACAGACATGGTGGCGTATGCTTGTAACCCAGCATTTGGGAGGTGAAGACAGCCATGGAGTAAGACCTGTCTCAAAACAAAAGGTTAGGATGCAGCTCAGTGATGGACTACTTGCTTAGCATGCCCACGCTTCAGTGCCCAGCACTGGCTAGGGAAAGGGTTTTTAATTTCTGCCTCACCACTCTTTCATCTCCCCTTTTGTTTTCAAAGAGAAACTGGAAGTTTGGGTAGATTTAAGGCATCTTTAAGTGAAAATGTCTTGGGGAGCCCCAAGGAACTGATGAAGTTAAGTGTGCCATCACTGGTGTATGCTGTCCAGAATAACATGGCTTTCCTAGCTCTTAGTAATCTGGATGCAGCAGTATATCAGGTAAGTGGAGTTAATGATATAAAAAAAGCTCTGAACTGAAAAAAAAAAGTTCTGTGGGACATGGTGGTGTATACCTTTAATCCTAGCACTGAGATCTCTATGAGTTCCAGGCTAGCCATGGTTATATATTGAAACTTTGTCTTAAGAAAAGACAACTGAGATTTGAGTTGTTCTTTTTTAAATGGGGATTTTCTTATTAACTCTTTACTACATTCATGAGTATTTTCTTAATTCTGATGGTGATAATATATTTCTGTAAAAGACTAACATGAGATGAATTTATTATTTGCTTCTAGGTGACCTATCAACTGAAGATTCCCTGTACTGCTTTATGTACTGTTTTAATGTTAAATCGAACACTCAGCAAATTACAGTGGGTTTCAGTTTTTATGCTGTGTGGTGGGGTCATACTAGTACAGTGGAAACCAGCACAAGCTACAAAAGTCATGGTAAGTAACAAAATCATATGCTATGGGTAAAAAGAAAACCCCTCTCTTATAGCATCTGTTTTGTTCACTAACTTCATAAGATGGGCTTGTGAATGTTTGAGGGTAATGTCACATCCCTACTCTTCAGGTGTCCTCTCTTCCCAACTGAAACTTATTTCTGTGGTCTTGTTTCTAGAGACCTTCCTAAACCCCAGCTCAACACTGCCCAGTATTTTACTTCCAGATGTTATGCCCTAAAACTTGATTCTATTTTCAGAGCAGACATAGCTTGATATTATTCCGTTGTTTTTAATAGAGATCTGCTATGTCAGTATATGATCAATTTGAGGGGAGCTTGTCTGTTTTTAATTGGCTACATACAACTGATGTTATATAAGATCTTATACACGTTTGGAACTGGGACTCTTAGGCTTGGCTTTCCAAATTTCAGTTTCTTTTGCATTTTGTTGTTATACTGGTATATACCAGATGCCTGTTTACAGAATACTGAAATTAAAGATGGTAACTTGAGCAATCGTTAGCAATCACAGAGGATCATTAAAACCTTTAAGTGTCCCGGGAGTGAAATGATCTCAGTTTTCAAAGATGAACGGACATTTTTGGCTATGCTTTATGTCTTAGTCTCAGGCACTCCTGGCATTAGGCTTTCTGCTTTTGAGCAAGGTGTCACATCTTTATTATAGGACTCCTCTAATTCCAGTGATAGTACTGAGGTAATATTCATTTCTCAGAATGACAGATGAAGCTCCTAAGAGTTAGTTAAGGTGAGAAAGGAAAGGAGAGCTGAAACAGTAGGTTCAGGAGCCAAATACTGGCATTTGTCTCTGTTTTGCTGTTATATATACCTGTCAATCTCCCCTGTGCATGAATCTGCTTAAGGACAGTCATTCCTCTAATGATTTAAGAAAAGATAAGTGTGTGTCATCACTTTCTTATCTGCTCAGTATGTAGCAGTGAATCTGGTGCATAGAACTGTGTAAGTATTTGACAAAAATTCAGTAAAGTGTTATTGTCACAAAAGTGCATACTTTATCTAAAACATAAGGACGTTGAACTGTACCATTTTTAGGACTGATACTTTAGTTTACTGTACAAGCAGAAATTAAAACTAATAAGCAGGTTAACGGGCTCGAGAGATGGCTCAGTGATTAAGGGCACTGACTACTCTTCCAGAGGTCCTGAGTTCAGTTCCCAGCAACCACATGATGGCTCACAACCATCTATAATGAGCTCTGGTGCCCTCTTCTGGCCTGTAGGCATATATGCAGACAGAACACTGTATACATAATAATAATAATAATCAGGTTAACTATGTAAAACTATATGTTCAAGTACTCAGAAATTGACATATACATGTTACACTGTATATACCCTGTGTGTGTGTATGATTTGAAAGAAATGCTTTCAACTTAAATACTTTGGTTAATTTGAAAATTTTTTTCATTTTGTTTGCTCCTTTATCATTGTTATTTACTTTGTTATCAAATGTACTTTTAGTAGAAGCCCCCCACCCCTGCTTTTTTTTTTTTAAGACAAGATCGTATTAGAGACCCCTGTATGGCATCGAACTCCTAGAGATCCACCTGCCTTTGCCTCCTGTGTGCTGGGATTAAAGGCATGTATCACTAGGTTTGGCAACATGTTTATTTGTAGCCATCTGTATGAACTGTTCAGTAATGGCTACTAAAAGTAACTTTTAAAAACTTACAATTGCAGGTAGAGCAGAATCCATTATTAGGCTTTGGTGCAATAGCTATTGCTGTATTGTGCTCTGGATTTGCAGGTAAGTTGTGAAAGCACTGCATTATCATTGTAACTCACTTTCTCTGTCTCTCCCTCCCGCCCCCCCCACCTTCCCTTCCCCCTCCTTCCTTTCTAAAAACACTGAACTATAAAAACTGGATCTCCTTCCCATGGTTTATCCTGGCAATCTTATTTCCATTAAGGCTTTAAGACCTTTCTTATTTGTTTTTTGTCAGCTATCCCTGCACCAGTAGATGTGGGACTTCATTTAACTCATTCCAGACTTCAGAATTGTTGTTATTTAAGAATATATTTCTGTCATTCTTGACCGTCTTAGTTTAGCCAAGAACTAAAAGTTAATGGAAAGGCCTCTGACATGAAGGAAATTAACCCTCAGCAAGGTCACAAGTACTTCCCATTTCCCCAAAGTATCATTATTTTCAAGCTTGTCTCTGCTGCCATAGGTCACTAGTACAGCAGCCTCGAGTATCTTGTATCTGTAATCTCAAGTTCTTCCTTTGCTTCAACAGACTAGGAGCTATGGAATAGAAAGAGGAGGTGGGTGAAGTGTACCTTAGCAAACATAATATCAAAGAAGAACAACCAGAAACATCAAGAAAACAGGAAAGTATGGAGTCATATAGGGACAGTCATTCCTCTAATGATTTAAGAAAAGAAATACATGAATCTTAATGTAAGAAATGAAATGTGTTGTAGAAATAGCTCTAACAGGTATGAGACTCAAGAGGGTTTTAGTAAAGAATATATTTAGTGATATTTGTATATCTCTTCATTTCTACCTATTTCAAGAGTGACTTTTTTTTTTTGACTAGGAAAACAAGGACATAGAAATAAAATATTGCTTATAAACAAGATATTTTATAAGAGAAAAGGCTAAATTTAAGAATATACTTAATTAACCATGGTATATAGCAAACTTTTACTCTTAAAAATCAACAAACTAGGAACAAAATTTTTATCACCAAAAAAATATTCTTTTGATTTTCAGTAATATCTTTGAACAGTTAAATGCTTAATCCAATATCCTATTTATTCAGCCTCTCAGCTTACACCTGAGGAAACAGAAGGTGGTTAGTAGTTCTCCTGTGTTTAAGTAAGATCACTGAGTAGCTAAATGCTTTCTCCAGACATAAAGTCTAAGTTGGAAATTCTAACAATTATTTTAGGAGGTTTGTTGCCATAGTCTGGCTCTTTTCCAGCATAGTCTTATCAAAATCATTTGTGTTTTTGCCAGGTATTGTGGCAGGATCTGTTTCAAGGTCAGGTGGATTCAGGGTCAGCCTGGTCTACATATTGAGTTCCAGGCTAGCCAGGGCCATAGTGAGATCCAGTCTCAAAGATAAAGATTAATATAAATTTAGTTGGTAAAAGTTCCCAAGCCTCTAGCTGATAAAATAGCTTTAAATACAATCTCCAATGTTCATGTTCAACATGAATTCATTTAACTTTAAAACTTGAAATAGTGGTATTTGACTTTTTAGGGACAGAAGAGTTTTTACTCCTTTTTCTCGGGGGGGGGGCAGTTTTTGTGTTCCCCTCCCCACCCTCCTCACCCCCCCTCCCCTGCCTCAATTTAATACCTAATTAGCAGTTCACAGGGCATGTGATGCTGTCTAGACCTGCTTCAAAGAACAGCTTTACTCAGCAAGTGGTATTTAATATTATTTTGGTTATAGCATTGAGAAGACATTAACTGGGTGATTATATAGTTACGTTGCAATAAGGCACATTTATTCCTACATGTATTAATGAGGTATGAGTAGGATAATTCACTTTAGTGGTGTAGTTTTACAGATGATCACAGCCAGCCTTTGATTGGCATTAAGGAGTAGAATTTTGGTGAACTAAAAGGAAAACTGTTTATGATAGTTTAACACCTTTTGTCAAATGTAGCTTATGAATTTTCCTCTTAATTATTAATCTATATGTTTTGTAAAAGCAATTTGATGTTTAATATTTCATGTCATAAACTACATAATAAACATGTACTTAACTAATATTAAGAATATTTGTTCCCCAAATTATGTACTTGGTATTTTCTGAATGGAATATTATTAATTAATTCATAATATCTTCAATATTTCCATGCCCTTTTTTTTCTAGGAGTTTATTTTGAAAAAGTTTTAAAGAGTTCAGACACTTCCCTTTGGGTGAGAAACATTCAAATGTATCTGTCAGGGATCGTGGTGACGTTAATTGGCACCTACTTGTCAGATGGAGCTGAAATTAAAGAAAAAGGATTTTTCTATGGTTACACGTATTATGTCTGGTTTGTCATCTGTAAGTATCCAGTAATAAAATGTCTGAGTCGATTCTATTTGCTTTTTATTTTAATTCTTAAGTTAGATGTCTGTCCTAGGTACTTACAGCATTTTTTAATTACCCCTCTGATACAGTGATGAATACCAGCTCAGACTGTGTAATGTTGTTCCTGCTGACTTGCTATCCCAGAGAAAATTTACCCTCACAATGAAAAGAATATAGTGTTAGTAGTAACCGTGTCGGATGTAGTAGTGGAGTAGTCTTTTGGGCACCTGAGAAAGGGCTGTGCAGGAACTACTACTCAGCTTTAGTGCAGCCTCTCATGTGACTGCTCTCCTTGTCATCTCTGAGAATGAAGATTATCTCGGCATTCTCAGCATTAGGGAGTGCTTTAATTATTCATTATTAAGGTTTTTTTTATTTATTTATTTTCTGTATCCCAAGTCCTGGCAAGCGTTGGAGGCCTCTACACTTCTGTTGTGGTCAAGTACACAGACAACATCATGAAAGGCTTCTCTGCAGCAGCAGCCATTGTTCTTTCTACCATTGCTTCCGTGATGCTGTTCGGATTACAGATAAGTATGTCATAGTTTTATATTAAGTTGTTAATGTGGAAGAGCCTATCTCTTCATGATCTGCTTCAAATCCCATTAAAAATAATCCTACTTCTGTTAATTTATTCTGTGGTTTGCAGCTGTGTGACAGTGATTACGCAGCACTTCGGTGTCCTAGAGCTCAAGAGTGCTGGCTCTAGGTAATGTTGAGAGGGCCACTCCGTTATTAAAAAAAGCTATTCAGCACTCAAGACTTTGTTTCCTTAAGTATTAGATACAGGATGTCTTGGGTGAGTCAGGTTATACATTTGGTCCTCTATAATTGTGGATTCAATCCTGTTAGAAAATAAAAGGGAGAAAACTATTTCTCTGAATATGTCATAATTCCCTAAAAATACAAATAATTGCTGGGCATGATAGTACATGCCTTTAATCCCAGCACTTAGGCAGAGGCAAGCAGATCCCTATGAGTTCGAGGGCAGCCTAGTCTACAAAGTGAGTTCTAGGACAGCCAGGGGTGTTACAAAAAAAACTCTTTGTCTCACAAAACCAAAAGAAAAAAAAAGGAATATAATTATAGTATTTATATTGTAGTAAATATTTTTTAATTTATTATTTTACATGTCGATCCCAGTTCCCCCTCCCTCTTTCCCTCCCTTTTATCCTCTCTGCCCTCTCACATGCACTCTAAACACTCTACCCTCCCATCTCCCCACCCCAATTCCATATGTAGGGGAATGCCATCCAGTTGGGGTCATGTAGATCTGACAGGTCATGTGAAGTAGGGACTAGAGCTTCTCTCCTGTCTCTAGATTAAGGTAGTTATCCCTCCATTGGGGATGTGTTTGCAAAGTCCTTTTGTGCACCAGGGATACATCCTGGCTCCACTGTCTGAGGTTCCTTAGATTGCTCAGTCCTTCTGGCTGAGACCCATATTCAGGGGGGCAGTCCATATTCAGGAGTCAGTCCCATGCTGGCTTCCCAGCTGTCAGTCTAGTGGCCATTAGCTCCTCCTTGTTCAGGTAAGCGGTCTGTATGTGTTTCTGCAGCCTGGTCTTGTCCTCTCCATCTGCATCTGGGTTCTAGTTCGACTCAGTGTTTATGTATGGGTGTTTGATCCTGTTTCCAACAGGCATTAGTTGAGGGCTCCATGGATAAGTTAGTTGTTGATCTCACTCTCCAGGAAGGGCATTTATGATAGCCTTTCCACGGAAGCTCAAATTGTTAGTTGGGAGCAGTCTTGTAGTTCTTGTAGTTCTCTTTCTTTGTGTTCAATTTTATCTTCAAACCAATATTGGCTCCCTCTTTTATGTTCTCTCTCTCTGTCTCTCTCTCTTTCTCTTTCCTGTCTTCTATTCCTAACCAGGCTCAATCTTCCTGGTCACACATGTTTTCCTTTCCTCCCCCTCGTTTTCTCCTACTTCTCTCTCCATTCGCTGCCCCCCCCCCATTTCACCTGAGCTCTGGGGAACTTGTACCTTCCCAGTTCTGTGAGGGACTTTATATGAATCTCTTAGAATACACCTTGTATCCTAGTTTGTAGTAAATATTTAAGTGCCCTATGAATGACTTGTAAGAGGTATGCATAGGTTATATGTAAGTGCTATGCTTACACGGGACATGAACATTTAGTAACTGAGGGAAATGCTAGAACCAATTCCCATGGATTCTCAGGAACCACTGTGGTATGGCAGTATGATTGGTTCTCAGGGAAATAGAAACACAAACTTGAGGAAATGATCCTTTACAATAGTGGAGTTAACATATATAGACCTATTGTGAAGCCTCCTTTCATTTTTTTTTTTTTTTTTTTTTTAAGTTTTTCAAGACAGTTTCTCTGTGAAACATTTCTGGCTGTCCTGGAACTCACTTTGTAGACCAGGCTGGCCTTGAACTCACAGACATCCACCTGCCTCTGTCTCCCGAGTGCTGGGATGAAGGTGTGCGCCACCACTGCCCAGCTCCTTTTTATTTTCTGTTCTGGGATTAGGTGTGCACTAGTTTACAGTGATATTGTGGCACCTTTCCTATGCTAATCCCTCTAGTGTTATTTTTTTCCCTAGCAGTCATATCCAGCTTTTGAATTACTTTTTTTTTTTTTTTTTTTTTGGGAATGCAAGAACTTTATTCAAAGTGCAATGAAACTTGTTAACAGGTTAAAAGATGGGGGAAACTACGACACCTCCCCTCCTCAAGCCCAAGAACAAGCACAAGGTGTGCTCTTTCTAGACACTGTAGTGAGAAAGGTGCGTCCATCTTCCTGTTTGACTTTGTTGGTGGTGTTACTGGGCTCAACCTCCAGGGTGATGGTCTTGCCTGTCAGGGTCTTCACAAAGATCTGCATCCCACCCCTGAGGCGGAGGACCAGGTGCAGGGTGAACTCTTTCTGGATGTTGTAGTCGGACAGGGTGCGGCCATCTTCTAGCTGCTTGCCAGCAAAGATCAGCCTCTGCTGGTCAGGGGGGATACCCTCCTTGTCCTGGATCTTTGCCTTGACATTCTCGATGGTGTCACTGGGCTCGACCTCCAGGGTGATGGTCTTACCAGTTAAGGTTTTCACGAAGATCTGCATTGTCAGCGGTGGCGACAGCAGTCCTCACAAAGACGCAGAGACGATACAGGCGTTCTTGACGGAACTACCAGCTTTTGAATTACTTAAGCAGAAATAATATAATGTTTTCTTTTAAGCTATGTAGTAATTATTTTCTTTATTGACCAATTATTATATCATAAACCACTAAGGAAAATTTGTTAAATGTCTACATTAAGTAAAAGGGGAAAAACTTTCCTGCTTTACATTTAATTTTATAATTAACTCTTCTTACAAATACAAACAAAAGCCCCATTAGTGTTTCAGAAAACAATTTTGTGGCTCAAATCTTGCCTATTCTAATTATTGGCAGCAGCCTTGGGGAAATTGCATAACTGTGTCTCACACTCCTTTCTCACGTGTAAATGACGCCATTGGTCTCCTGGGCTTGTCAGGTGATTTGCTCAGAACAGTTTCTAGCAAATAACAAGGAAGTTGTACAAGTTCTACCACAGCACTTGATGTTCTTATCATCTGATTTGGGTAAACTATTAATTGGAGTTCTAGTCCATCCTTATATTTAACATAATCCTGTATCTTTGCTCCTGAGGAAAACTCGGTAACAATATAAAATATGTCTGTCTTAAGTATCTTTCGGCTAACTATTGAGATATTTAGATATAAACTGTCTTGCTGCTCAAATTCAAAGCTGGTATTTTACTGTAGGTGAACTAAAACTGAAGCTTGGTGCTATTTTTTACATTCCCTTTAGGGGGTGGGGGCTACCTCATAGCTCAGACTGGCCTCAGACTCACTACAGAGCCAGTAACCTTGAACTCCTGAACCTCCTGTCCTGGGATTATAGGCATGTACCACCATGCCTAGCTACCTACATGCCAATTTTTAAAGCTATTAATACTGAGCCATCATGTTATACAGTTAATATGTATAGATTATGGTTCAGTTTTAAGCCACATATACAGTTTTAACATTAGCATTTATTTATATAATGCCTATGTGTGAAATTTATAGAAGGGTTTTGTTATTTTATATATATATATATATATATATATATATATATATATATAATTTGTTTTTAATTTTTCTCTTTGGTGTGTGGGTCCATGTGAGTCAGTGCTGGATGTCTTGGTCAGTCGCTCTCCTTATTTTGGAGACAGGTCCACTTACTGATTTGGCTAGACTAGCTGAGCAGAGAGCTCCCAGGAGCAGTCTGTCTGTGCTCCCACAGCACAGATGCTGCCCAGGGTTGTCCTTTGGCTCCTATGTGTATACATGTGAACTCTACATACATGAACACATACATAAAAATGCTTTCTAAAATTCATCATTTTTTTTTTATAGTTTCTAGTTTAAACAAAAGAAATGCTAATTTTCTTTCTCTCTCTCTTTTCAGCACTTTTCTTTACAATGGGAGCTCTTCTTGTATGTGTTTCCATATATCTCTATGGGTTACCCAGACAAGACACTACATCCATTCAACAAGAAGCAACTTCAAAAGAAAGAATCATTGGTGTATGATTTGAATCTTACAATAATCCTATAATGACTAAACTGTCGATAATAAATTAGAGCCTTAAGTCAACCCCAGATGGTAGCTTAAACAATATCAACAAATTTACTGTTATGGCATAAGAATCAAGAAGAAAACTACGAGTGAAGTGCTTAAACAGATTTTATTTGAGGGTGTTTGGTGTCAAGCTGTATTATTTCAGAATGAAGGATTTTATTACAGAGAGTGTGTGCGTTGTGTATGTATACTGTTTACACAGAGCATGGAGTTGACATGGTATCAGGATGTGTGTGTGCTGTCTCTTGTACACAGAGCACAGGGTCAGAACATCAGGTGAAACGACAATATTCAATCAACAAGGTTTAAGTCGGTGTTTGAAGGTTAAAGTGCCAAAGCCATTTCTGCACACACTGTTCTCTCATTCAGGTCCTGGGAGGGGAAGGTGAGCCTTCCTAGTTGTCCAGTTCATGGATAGTACTTTGTCCCTATAGTAGTCAAAAATCTAGCTGCTTTTATCAAAGTGAAGAATGAATACGATAAGACAGTTCAGAACAAAACCCATGAGTGTGTAACTTCTGAAGCAGAACCTATTTCATGGCTCAGACATGGACTTCTGTCTGGGTAATGACTGAGAACTTCAGTGCTGTGCTTGTGACACTTACTGTCTGGTTCATATTTCTTTGCTGTTAGCTGATATACTTTCCAGAAAACTTTCTAAGTCGCTTTTATACTTTCTTTTTTATAAAGTATGGTTGTTGGGCTCTCAATTTGTGAACTTTCAGTGATTTTAAAATATTTCTATAATGTTAATGGGGAAATCCAGCAATAAATTTATTTATATCACTTGTGTAGTCACTTTGTTTTATGGATATGGTCACTATGGTAATGTAAAAACATTAACATGACTTTTTTCTAGGTATGAAATTTTAACAAACAAGGGTTTCGCTATAATCTAATTCTTAACAAGCCTTGAGCAAAAGAAAAAAGGAAAAAAAAATTTCTGGGAAGGACTACAGCTTAATTAACTTTTCAAAGAACTGTATTTTTGAAGGCTTAGTGTCTGTATAATTTTACTCAAGAAATATAGTGGTCTGAGGAGAAAGTCTCTCCAAAGAAGTGGAGAGGAAGAGTAGATAAGTAAAACATGTCCCAAGTGTACATGTTAATCCCATAGTTGGTTTGCTATAGGAAGTTCAATGCTACTGTAAGAAGAAAATTAGCAAATCATTAAGAATTGTGACTATATAACATTTAGATTAAATATAGCAGGCCAAATAGCAGGCAGACAATGGTGATGGTTATCAAAATGTAACACATTATACTTTTGTTACCTAAATTAAACTCATATTGTTACTCAAGTCAGACAAACTACCTTGTCTGTATGCAGACACATGAAGGCCAAAACTGCATCTCAAATTATGCCATAAATACTGCCCCCCTCCAATCTGAAGTTTTGCTATTTAGATGGATATGTTCCCTACTTCATAGTTTGTTACCAGTATATTTCAGCTGAAGGTAAACTGAGGTAAGTTCTCACTGGGAGAGGTACCCACTCTCTGCCAAAGAGATGCTAACTTTACATATTTGTTCCAGAGACTTGCTACAATTAAAACAAAACTGGGGCCACCCTTCACCAATTATTTTATGAAAACAGGAGGTTATCTCAGTTATAAGAATAATTCTGGGCTAGAGAGATGGTTAAGAGCTCTGGCTGCTCTTTCAGAGGTCCTGAATTCAATTCCCCAGCAACCATATGGTGGCTCACAACAATCTGTAATGAGATCTGGTGCTGGCATAATACTGTATAGTAAATAAATAAAATCTTTAAAAAAAAAAAAGACTAGTTCTAAAGCCCCCATGTCCCAGTCTGAGGGCCATGTTGGAGCCTGTAGAGATCTGACCTAGGTCCTCTGCTCACTTGTTATGGCTTTGGTGTTCTTGTAGGATTCCTCACAGTGGGAGTGGGGGGGCTGTGGTTTGCCTGCTTGTGGAACCCTTTCCCTCCTACTGGGTTGCCTCATCCAGCCTTAATGTGATGGTATGTGCCTAGCCCTTTTACAACTTGTTATGTTGTGTTTGGTTGATATCCCTGGGAAGCCTGCTGTTTTCTGAGGAGAGGTGGAGGGATGTAGATTTGGGTAAGAGGGAAGGTGGAAGGTAGAGAATGGAGGGAGTGGGGGTGAGGGAGGGGAAACTGAGGTCTTAATGTATATATGAGAAGAATTAATTTTTTTTTTCTGTTAATCTCAGCATTCACAATGCATATCTCAGAGTTCAAGTCAGCCCGGTCTACACAGTGAGTTCCAGGCCAGTTGGGGCTACACAGACCTTGTCTCAAAAAAGATTTCTGGGGCCAGCAAGATGGCTCAGGGGGTAAAGGTGATTATGTGTATAAATAAACCTGAGCCTGGCATCATACATTTGAGATCTGGAACCCACAATGTAAGGAAAGAACTTCCAAAAGCTGTCCTCTACCCCAAACAACAACAAGAAGTTGAAAAAGTTTTTGTTGGGGCCTAAATGCAGGCTTCTAACCCTAGCTGAGCAAAACCAAATTCAAGGCCTGGTTATGTTAAGAGTTCATAGTCAACCTGGGCAATTTACATGAGATTCTACTTCAATATAAAAAGTAAAAAGAAAGATAGGGACATAGATTAGTGGTAGAACCCTTGCCTAGTGTGCACAAGGTTTCAGGCTCAATCTCTAGTAACATACACACAACTGTATCACAAGGTTTGAAATTTAAAAAAGACTCAACTTAATATCTTACGTGTTTGAATACCTACTGACCATGAATGAATACACGATTTTTTAAAGAGTAAAGTTAAATAAGTTAATGTAATTGTATAAAAGTATATGTTCTGGTCAGGTGGTGGTGGTGTATGCTTTTAATCCCAGTACTCAGGAGGCAGAGGCAGGCAGATCTGTGAGTCTGAGGCCAGCCTGGTCTACAGAGTTCCAGGACATCCACTATAGTTACTCAGGGAAACCCTGTCTGGAAAACAACCCTCCCCCTAAACACACGCACACACATGCAAGCATGCACATGCGCGCGCACACACATATACACACACACATTCTGGCACAGAATACTTTAAATTCTACTCTGAATAGCAAGCCATCTGATAACAACTAGAACTTGTTTGGCATTTAAAAACCCATACTTTAATTAGAAATTACATATTACATTCTACATACAGGTGTAATTCCAAGAAGCTTCATTCCATTGGCTAGGACAGAACGGACAGCTCTGAAAAGATGAAGTCTGGCCTACAAAATAATGATTAAATGTTCAATAATACATTAGCAAGAAGCAAAAAAGAAAAGAAAAAAATGATTTTAGAAGTAATTCTAATTTAAAGTAGGAATTCCCATTGATAGTCCTTTGCATACTCTAGGCAAGGAGAAATGTATCCTAGTATCCCTTACAAAAAGAACAATATAGAAAGGGTGTGCAGTGGCAGAATTTGTCACTTGGACACTTGATGGAGGAACATACATTTGATAGTCTACTATTTAAACAGATTGTTACAGCTAAATTTGATTTATTACTTAAGTCATAGAGTATACTGCTGTAGTTAAGCTACAGAAGTTATTTCAGAAAAGTTCCTAAGACTAACATAATATTAATTTCAGCTGCCAAGGAGTTATATAGAGGACATTCAATGTAACATACCCCAGCCACATCAGCAGGACTGTCTTTTACTTGGAGTGTTTTATGTGCCATAGCTGCAAGATGACTGGAAAAAAGAGAAATCACTATGAAGACCAATAATAATTTCCTGTCCCACAAATCTGACACCTAAACCACTTAACTTTAAGGAAAAGTCTATACTCACTAAAGAGGCTATCTGAAGTTATGAAAGTTGAAATAAATGCATTTGCTTGTCTGTAATAAAGTTAAAATACTAAACTCAAGTTTAGTTTTTGAGATTTTTGATTTCACCATTTTATAGAAGTAGGGCATGCCTTCTAACAAGAAGAATTTCTTTATGTAGACAACTTAAAGGATAACATGGTGCCCCCTTGTCTTCTGGACAGACAGACAGACAGACAGACAGACAGACAGACAGACAGACAGACACACACACACACACACACACACACACACACACACACACACACACACACACACACGGGTCGGGGGGCTGTAGTACTCCTAGAACAGAAGTAGGAGGATTAAGAGTTCCATGTTAGCCAGAGCTACACAGTGAGACCCTTTCTTATACAAGAAAGTTGTAGTATTCTCTCATTTCAGGAAATAGTGAGTAAAAGCATTTAAATTACTGTACATTTCAACTACTACCATTGATTTGCTTCCTAATTCATTTGTTCCCTTTGCTACAACTGATTTGTGTGTGTGTGTGTGTGTGTGTGTGTGTGTGTGTGTGTGTGTCTGGTTAAAACAATATGGACCCAGACGCCCTGAAAACTGTCTAAGGCAAAGCTGGGACTCATTATTTCTCATCCCTTTAGCCATTATAGCTATAGTACTTGCTGGACCTTTCCTTCTTCCCAGCCACTTCCCAGTTACCGCCTGCTGTTTCCTCCTGAGAAGCCCACTCTGTCAAAGCTGATCTGGGTTAACAGCATCTCATATATCTACTTTTGGCAATACACATGCTACTCTGTTATAACTACCCTTGCCATTGTCAATTCCTATGATTTTACCTTAAATAACCAATTAAATACAATGAAATCTAATTATCAGATAAAATGTAACAGTTCCTATAACTTAAAGGAAAAAGCAATTTTTAGGACAAGGGATTTATTTGCAAGAAACCTTTAGATGAAAGAGATAAATATATAGGGGCTGGAGAGATGGCTCAGCAGTTGAGTACATGCTGCTCTTCTAGAGGACCTGAGTTCCTTTTCCAGCATTTATGTCAGGCAGATCACAATTGCCTGTAACTCCAGCTTTGAGGATCTGATGGCCTCTAAAGGCACCAACACATGTGGTGATACCATTTTTTATGAAACTATCTCTTAGATTCAAAGAGACTGAACTTTGGCTTGACGTTACAGCTAACTTAATATACCTGGAGGTCACTTAAAGCCTAGGTGGCTACCCATGTATGGGTTTAGCCTGTTTGACCTTCCTTAAGAGAACAATCTGATAACCAACCTTATTTGTCTTGGACTTCCCATGTAAGTTACCTAATGTAAGTTACCTAACTTACCTAATGTAAGTTAGGTATTCTTCTATGTCCCTGACCCAGAGAACAATGTATGTGTGTTTGAAAACAGCAGATATGACAAAAGCTGCCTTCTAAAATAAATATCCACCATGAAATCTGAAACAGTATATGAGTATTGGATATGTGCTGTTTGCTTCTCTGATTGTTTCTGGGTCAGCTCAAGTCAATAAAGTTTCCTCCAGTGTAAAACTCTGACAAAGGTTTCTTAGTGTCCCTTACTCCTTCCCCATGTGACGCTACCTCTTCTGTTCAATAGACAGCAAAGCCCTTTGTTAGGGACAGACAAGACAGCATCCAGTCAGGCACTGGGGCTGCCTCACACAACAGGTACATTTACAGAAGCCAGTGACTCAGAAGCTCCAGACAGACGGCAAGGGATGAAAAGCTCTGCCTCCCTTTTGGTTGAAGTACTCCAAGGGGAAGTGCATTGATTGCTTTCTTCAATGTAGCATCTACCATATTGAGACTCTGAGTTTATCATTACTTTAAATTAGCATGCATACCTGTGAGTGCACATATACACATACATTGAATAAAAATAAATCGTAAGAAGATTTTGAAAAGAAAAAATTTAAATTACCTTAGTGTCAAAAGGTAACTAACGATATGCTTGGGTTGCAGGTCCTGAGAGGATTTATAGAGTACCTCGTCAAACCTAAAAGTGACAGGAACAGGCTAATCATTGGTTATCTGAAGCTGTTAAGATGTTAAATACCTTGGGTGTTAAGAAAGCATACGAAGCTGGGCAGTGGTGGTGCATGTCTTTAATCCCAGCACTCAGGAGGCAGAGGCAGGTGAATCTCTTGTGTTCAAGGCCAGCCTGGTCTACAGAGCTAGTTCCAAGGACAGCCAAGGCTAACACTGAAAAACCCTGTCACAGGGATGGGGAGGGTGGGTTATGAAAAAAGATCTGGGTACATTTGATCACTAATATGCATTTTTTCTTTCATATAAATTCCTTGATAGCAGAGACATTCTAAATCATCTTTATATCTCTTAGATCTAGTCCTGAGCAAAAACAGACAAAGGAAAAACCTTGCCTATTAAGGCAGTAAGCTCTGATCTCAAGGCTAAGGAATAAGGGGAGTTTGTTTTCTTTTACATATTAGTCTTCTTAGCTGAAGAAAACTGCCTTCTTAGACACATACCTACTTCTGTGTTCTCTGATCTCTTAGAGACCAAGTATGTTCTGCCTATATGGTGGTATTAAGCAGACAAATGCATAGGAGATTGAGAACTGAAGCCACAAGGCAAACTAAAGGATTCACAGTCTGAAAAGCTGCTCAGAGGTAGGGCTTTCCTCACCCAGTCATACCACAGCCTCAGAGGATGCTCTTATTTGGAGACCATGCCCTTACTAGGTTTCACTTTTGTAGACCTTGGGCTTAGACCATACACTACTCCTTCATGTCACTGTATTTTATGGTAATATTTTTAAGGCTAGGATTGACCTTCAACACTGCCTTAATCTCTGATCCCAGTCTGTTCTCAAAAGGCAGATTCCTTTTGGGCCCAACTATGCCTGTCTAGAGACAGGAGGCAGCCTCTGAATAAATGACTCTAGGAGTCAGTAAATAATATTTAGTTAAGAGCATCAGACTTGGCAATAACAGAAAAACCTCATACCTGAGAAGATGCTGGAGAATTGAAACAGACTGTGGTTCTTGTAAACAAGCAACATTGACGTCATTGAGGTAACCACATCCAAAAGTCTCTTCCAAACTGGCACCAAAAGTTTAAACAAACGTAAAAGGATCAGTTTTTGAGGGTCCATATCTACATGCGATGAATATTAGCTTTGGGTATACATTCTTGATCTCTTTAATATAGCCCTGGACTTGGATACTAACATTGATATAATCTCATTTTCCCCAAATTATTTTATGTCTCTTAAAATGTAGCTGACAGGATATTCTCTGGCAGAATTATTGTGAGGATGAAATAAGGCAATATAGAAAAAGTGTTTCTTAAAACAGATGATTGATACATGATAGTGGTCTGCTGTACTTTACCCATTTTTGAATGAGAAGTTGTGGAAAAGTCCAGAAAACAAGGCCAGCCACACCAGGCAGGTTCCAGCCTAGGGAAGGACAGCCAAGCTTCCCTGAAGGCTCTTCTTACCTATAGAGGCGGGCATGTGTATACTGTAGGAAGACTCCAGTATCCCCACGGCTCTGCAGAACACGGTCCCAACTGAACTGATAGTCAGATAAGAGCAAACCTCTGAAGTCCTGAAATGAGAGTACACCATTAACCCTGGGTTTTGCTACACACCAGACAAAAAGATCTCAGAGGAAGGAGTTGTAACACACCTGGATGATGAGAGCTGCAAGCCCCACCCTCTCTGCAGTCTCCTGTGGGTTCTCCAGATGTTTTGTTGCTGAAACAGATAAAGGCAGCTACTTTCAACCTGTACCTTACCATTGAGAATAATGGAACAGCATATGAAAAAAAAAAAAAAAAAAAATCTGAAACGTGATAAAAAAAATAAGATGATAATGGGTACTCCACATTCCTATAATAGTCTGTGCTCCTGCCCATAGCAAAGTGAAGAAACATGAACTTACTTCATTCATTCATATATATTTTCCTATTTCTTGTAGGGTACAGATAAAGCCCATCTTTATGTTCCTAAGGGTGAATAATAGTTATATGACCTTTGATTACTTGAATCCAATTTACAATGCAAGGACTTGGGCTGGAAGGTAGCTTAGTTGGTAAAGTGCTAGCCTAATGTGGTGTTCTGAATGAGAAACCCCATAGACTCATATTTGAATGTTTGGTCCCCAGTTGGTGGAAATGCTTGGAAAGGGTTAGGTGTGGCCTTGTTGGAGGAGGTGTGTCACTGAGGGGTTGGCTTGGAAGTCACTCCCAGTTATTTCTCTGTCTCTTGCTTGTGGATCAAGATGTAAATTCTCAGTTACTACTCCAGTGTCTGTCTGCCTGCTGCCATATTCCTCACTCTAACCTTCTGGATCCATTGGTCCCACATTAAATGCTTTATATGTTGCTTTGCTTACAGTGTCTCATCACAGCAACAGAAAAGCATGACTTGAAAGCCCAAAGACCTGAGTAGGAAAACCAGAACTTGTTAAAAAATAACTAAATAAAAGAAACCTGAGAGTAGTGGTTTGTGCATGTAATCTCAGTGTTGGGGGGTTCAATGACAAGCCAGCCTAGCCAGTAACAGATTCTGTATGTTTGTTTGTTATAAAAAGTAAGCTATGTCTGAGAACTCCTCTTGCCTCAACACGAATGTATGCATATGTGCATTTGTACATACACAGACATATATAAAAATGCAAGCTTCACAGGATGTCTGACAACATTCAAGATGTTATATTAATGGACAACTGAACTACATGTTAAATTAATGAAAGCTACTTTTGATCAGATTCAGTGGAAGTCCCAAGAAAGCATAAAAGTAGCAAAGAGAGTTTACTCTTGATGGAAGCCATATTCTGCAGCATCCTTGATTGAACCTCATTTAAGACATCTTCCAGAAAAGTGACATCCCCTCTTCGAGTCTTCATTCCCTTTACTATCCCAAAAGCTACATGATGGCACCTGAAATGGACAGGCATTTATTAACCAAAAGCTAAAAAGGTGCTAATGATGTAAGTATATCTTAGCACCCACTCAGAAAGCAAACTTTTAACCTCATGGTAGAATTGTTAAAAATTACTAAAGAAATAGGATGTAGCCAGGAATGGCATGCATGGTAGCGATTCAAGTCTTGGAAGATGGAAGCAGAAAGATTAGGAGTTCAAGGGCATTCTCAGGTACATACACAGTTCAAGGCCAGTTTCTGCAAGGAACCCCATTTCAAACAATAGTTCTCATTTTTTTTTTATAGTTGAAAAAATCTGTTGTACACAGGTACATTTTCATTATTTGGTAGACAACCGGACTGATTTCATTTCCTTGTATTGTAAGGGAGGATCAGTGGACATGGAAATGTAGGTTTCTATAGTAAGATACGGAGCCCTTTGGGTAAATGCCCAGAAATGGTTTAGCTGAGTCAGGTGGGAGCTCCATACTGATTTCCACAGTGGCTGTACCAGTTTATACTTCTACCGATACAGTAGTAGACACTGTCCCTTTCCCCACACCCTTATAAGGATTTGTGGTCATTTGTTTTCTTGATAAAGCACTCTGATTGCAGTGAGATGGAATCTCAAGTAGTTTTCATTTCCATTTCCCTGGTGGCTTATACTATTGAATACTTTAAAAAATATTTACTGGCATACACATACTTTTTTGTTTTTTATTTATTATTATTATTAGGTGGTTTTTTGTTTTGTTTTTTTGAGACAGGGTTTTTCTGTGAAATAGTTCTGGCTGCCCTAGAACTTGCTCTGTAGACCAGGCTGGCCTTGAACTCAGAGATCCTCCTGCCTCTGCCTTCTGACTACTGTGACACCATTTATAATCTTTTAAGAGACCTCTTTGTTCAGTTTCATTGTTAAATTTTTTGGTTTGGCTATTTGTTTCTTTAATTCGTGTTCTTTAAAGTCTTATGCATTGTATATATATTAATCCTATATAATGTATAGTGTACACTTTCTTTACTTGGCTGTTTCCTTTCTTGTTTACATGCTTAACTTTACAAGGTTGATCTGTTACATGTTTGCCTTATTTTCTGAGTGACTGAAGTGCTATTACAAAGTCCTTATATTTGCCTATAATTATTTTCCCTACTTTTTCTTCTAGCAGTTTTAGATCTTATGTAAGTTCTACAATCCCATTTGGAGTTCATTTTTGTGCAACATGAGAGAGCCAATTATCTACTTTCATTATTCTACATGCATATACCCAGTATATTATATTAAGTAACCCAGGTTCAGATAAACAAAACCCTGCTATGTTCTGTCCTAACTTCTGTTTTTTACATGAGGGCATTTATGTACGAATCAGTTGTGTGGAGAGGCCAGGAAAGTAGAAAGGCACTCATGAGAGGCCTGGGAAGGGGTGGGGCAGTGATAGCAAGGCACATCTGAGTTGCACCCCTAATAGCAGGGGTGGAAAAATTTAAGTGGGGATGGAGATCAAACAAGTGGGGGAGAGTATAGGGGAGAGGGTCAACCAAAACCAAGAATGTATGAGGAAGCTATAAGTGAACCAGTTACTTTGTAAGCTAATTAAAAAACAGAATAACTTTTAAAAGTTTGAATGGTAATACTCTATGTGGAAGAATAAACTACTTCCAGAAGCCGTAAGTTTATTTAAAAAACAACAACAAACTCATTGACAGGGTAGATACCACTTATGACTGGTTACTAAGGAAAGCTCCTTGAGTCCCTAAAGCAATGCAAGCTATCTGGTTGTCCATGAATAGTATAAGACATAAGTACAGGACACTGAGAAATCAAGCTGAGACCGGGCTGCAAGTGTCCTCCCTGCTGGTTAGCTTTCACAGTGCCAGAAGATGCTAAAGGCTGGGAGAAGAGGTACAATCAATAATCTTACTCAGCTGTGAACCTTTCATGCTATATTCTTGGCCTGCCAGAGAAGATGTGCCCACTGGTGTAACACTGGCAAGGGGTAACTAACTGCTTTCTGGTTGGATTTGAGTCCCACTTCACAGAAGGGAATTCATACTTGGTAATGTATACATAGCTAAGGCTCATAGCTTGAATGCTGTTAAGCCTTAATGAAGGAGGTACAAGTGTTGTTCTGATAAATGGACATATTAAACTCATGAAATTACCTTCTAAATGTCAGCTTGGGTCAGAGAAATTTCTTTATCCAGTGGGCAATAGTTATTGCAAAGTCTAACTACAGAGTGACTATTGAATGCTGAGCCCTAAATGTGACATCTAAATCACCCCACCCACTCCAAGGTTCAGGAAACACAGTGGAAGAGGGGTTTGGAAAGAATATAGGAGTCGGGGGAAGCAGGAGAGTGTTGTGGAATGATGTCTTTTACATATGGCAGGGACAATACATTAATGAACTGTGAACCTGCCCAAGATTGGTACCACAGAACATTCTCTCACAGGGTTGGTTGGGGTTCATGAAGTTCTACCCCTCCCTGAGGACATACAGGCAGTTAATAGTTGCTAGTGAAGGAAGACATTTTTGTCTGTACTGTTGCTCCAAGAAAGTTGTCCCTGCTTCTATCAATAACATTTTACCCATATTCTTTAAGCAACCCTAATAAATCACTGGCCCATAAGAAAATCAATCAATCAATAAAGCAATCAATCAATCAAAAGGGGGACTCATTAGCAAGGGGATCAATGGAAGTGGAAGAAGAGGGGAACAGTGTGAATATGATAAAAATACAACATATACATGTATTAAGATATCATGTATAACTAAAATATGGTGAGTAAAAAAACAAAAAATAAAATGTGTTTTTTTTGCAGTACACTGAAGTTTCACCTTACTGAGATAACCATTAGTTGTGATGAAATTACTGGTTGTCTTTATGAGGAATGGGAAATGGATATTAATAATTGAAAACCAAAACACTGATAGTAGACATCTAATAAATAAATTTGTCAGGACATACATTAATACAAAATCAATCTGTGTTTTCATATTAATATCCTGAAAAGAGAATTGAACATAAATTTAATGAAAAGAGAATTGAACATAAGTTAATGTACTTATGTTCTGAGGCTTAGCTGACATAAGCTGTTAGTGAATTTATCAGAAAACAAAGGACAACATGAATCCCACCTTTCTGCCCATTCATATCCCATGATCTTCAGTATTTGGAACACTTGCTGAAAATGCCGTTTTTGCCCTTTGTCTGCCTTGGGGAAATTTTTTGGAATTTAAATAAAACAAAACAAAGACAAGTTAATAAATAAAATTTCACATTAGAGTTTTGTTAGACTAAAATCATTGTCAGTGTTTTAAATAAACATACTAGGGGCTGGAGAATGGCTCAGTGATTAAGGGTATTTACAAGCTGCTCTACCAGAGGACCCAAGTTTGGTTCCCAGCATTCACATTCGGCGGTTAACCACAGCTCCAGGGCAATCTGATGCCTCCTTCTGGTTTGTGGGTACCTGCACACACATGCACCATACATATACACATTCATTCATTTCTCTCTCTCACACACACATAAATAAAAATTAAAATAAATCTTAAACACAGGAGACTGGAATACCAGTCAGCAATAAAAGGATCAAACTAGTAACACAATGGCTGGGATGGATCTCAAGGGCAATACTAAACTGGGAGGCAAAAAAATCTCAGAAAGTTACATAGGATGCCATTTACACACCACTCTAAAGTGACAGCATCTGTAACGAAGATCGAAGCTGGGGCTGGAGGGAACTGTGATTAACTGTTGGATCATCAGGAGTCTGCTCTGAATGTGGTGGTGGTTACACAGATCTCTACATGGGATACAGTTCCACAAAACCAGCCTATACCGGATGCATAGACGAGCTGATGAGATTAGAATGTGCCTACAAATACCAATCTGATTTTGACAAAGTTCCTCATGTGTCTGTAGAAGTGAGTGAGTGATGCTAGTCTGAAACTGCTTTTCTTAAGGTATTAAAAGATTTTAAACGTTTTCTTACTTTCTTTTCTTTTTGAGACAGGGTTTCTCTGTGTAGTCCTGGCTGTCTCTGAACTAGAGCTATAGACCAGGCTGGACTCAAACTCACAGAGATCTGCCTGCCTCTGCCTCAGAGTGCTGGGGTTAAAGGCATGTGCCACTACTTCCTGAAAGGTCTTTTAAAAACAATTCTAATACTTTATTTTTTATACAAATAAAGCCTACACAATAACACTATAATAGAATGAGCTGATAGTTTTTAAATTTTATTTAAACATGCAAAAAGATTTATTGTATGTGTATGAGTGTTGTGCATGTATGTATGTCTGTGTGTCACAGATGAGTGCCTGCTGGATTTCTATTCCCTTGATACAATTTTAAACAAAAGGGAAAAATTCCAGATTACAAACTCCTACCCCCAAAACAAATTAAGAAATATTTGTTTTGGAATTCATCACTAGGACAGATGCAACTGCCATGTAGTAATTTCATATAACCACCCTCTTGATTTTGATAATTTTTTTTCACTATGAAGCAATGTAAACTTTTGATTTTTGAGTTTTTTTTTAAAATAAATTTAAAAGAAGTCACTATCTTATTCAACATAGTATCTAATTATTTCCCATAGTTACAAAATTGTTTTTGCCATACCTTCACCATGGTTTCCCTTTCTGTTTGCTGATGTGGACGTGTGCTTGCAAAGGCATTCATGCCATGATTGACATGCCAAGGTCAGAGAAAAATTATTTAGAGTTGATTCTCTCCTTTCATCATTACCTGGGTCTTAGGAATCAAACTGACATCATCACTCTTACAAGGCAAGCACCTTACACACTGAGCCATCTTCCTGGTCCTGGTTTCCTATTTCTATTTCTGTCTCTTTCTAGTTTCCATGAGGCAGGGTTCATAACCTTTTTTTTAATTGTGATTACTTACCACATAAATCATTGTATCAAAATTGTATTTGTCCATACGATCTACGGCAGCTGCAAGATCCCTAAAAAAAAAAAAAAAAAAAGGGGTGTTTGTGTGTGTGTGTGTGGCTATAATTACTTTTACTTACTTGGTAATAGGGAAACAATTTTATTTAAAAACTGTATTATTCTATAGCCTGAAGGATGATATGAATCATCCTTATTAGAGTCCCAATATTCTTGATAAGAAGTAATAACAAAACTAGGTTTGGGAAAAAAATAAAACAAAACAACAATGCCCTGGAAAGTGTAATTAAAAACACTAAAAATAAAAGCTATAGAGCAAATAATCATTAAAAGGTATTTTACAGTGTTCTATAATTAACTAACCCTTTACTGGAAAGAACCATCTAGTTGTTACTTTTCTATGATAAATTTTCTCAAAGAACACAATTATAATATAGATGATAAAAGAGTCTAAGAAGTACTTTCTGCTGCCCTTGGATGTATTAGCAAAAACTTCCAGAATCTTGGATCACTAAAATGCACTAACTTCTCCTGCATTTAAAAAGCTCTTAAGTCCTTGGATCACTTGGTGGTTAGACACAAACATACTATTCTTCCAGAGGAACCAGTGCAATTCCCAACACAGGAAAGTAGATGACAACCTCCTACAATTACAGCTCCAGAGAAGCCACAAACTCTTCTAGACCCCAGGGCACCTGGACTCACATGTACACATTCCCACAAACAGATAACACACATTAAAAAGTAACATCAAAGGTTATTAAAATATTGAAATTGAAAATATTGAGAAAACTTAAAACATTTTTTAAAAACATCCTTTGAAGTGTTATAAATGATCAAAATATCATTTGTGTCCATCTTATGATCTAGGCACTGCATGGAATATGTATTCACACTTGAGTAAAAACTTTACTTATTCATTCATTTACTTATTTATTTTTAAGCCAGGACATCACTAAGTAGCACTGGCTGAATTATAACTCTGTGTCTGCCAGGCGGCTCTTGAACTCAGGGGAACTGCCTGCCTCTGCCTCCAGAGTGCTGAAATTAAAGGTGCTCATCACCACACCTTCCTGACAAGTGGCTTATGTTCTAATTAGAAAAGTCTGCACACTGGTGCAGGGCTTGGTTTCTTTAATTTGCCTAGCAATAATTAGTTGCTGCAATGAAATATTCTAATATATATGTACACATATACACACTTCTCTTAAAACATTTCTTTTTTTTTCCCTCATACCCCAATTCCAAGAAATTGATGAAGAAAAATACTAAAATAGAAAGAGATGAGTTCTCTAAGCAACTTTAAGAAAATTAATTGGTCGTCTCAAGTTATAATGATGGTATTCAATAGCAAAAATACCATTATGTTATAATTTAGTTTATGTAAAGCTGTTGGCATAGCTCAGTGAGTAGAACAGAGCTTGCTTAACATATGTATACTCTTGGATTTAATTCCTCGTGCCACAATGGCAATAAACCAATGTATATACTGGTTTATAACCTACTTAAAACTCAGAACTCAGGGCTGGGGACACTGGGACCTTGTGCCAGAAGTGTTTGGTTATGGCTGTTTCATTGTTCTGCCTTCTCTTCCCATTGGCTTCATTCTACAAATCATGTGTGCTTAGTAAGTGAGACTCTCATATATGAACAATGAGTGCTCATTTCCACAGGGTGAGAGGCATGGAGAAGCCCACTTCCTAATTTCTCACAATATAAAGAAGTTGGCATTTACATGTATGTAAAATGGTCTTTAATGTGTAAGGTCACCATTGAACCTTAACTTGGTCATTTTTTTAGAGTGTATTTCCTGACAATATGTACTTATAAAAACACTTAATATATGATTATGAAGGCCCATGGACAGAATGATATGTTCTGTTGTGAACAGCTTATGATAGTCAATAAATTTTAATATAGAGTCCCAATATTATGATATTAAATCTTTCTGGAAATTGCAACCGGCAATCAACAGAAACCCAGCAAATATTCTTAAAATATGCAAATCAATTTATAGTTTGCAACTAGGATTTTTTAAAAATGGTTTGGAGGATAAGATGACTATCCTGCATTAATCTTGGGACAAAGAGTATGAAGTCTCACATTGCAAAGTTCACCTTCACAGACAGTACAAACCTGGTTGCATAGAGAGAAGTGCCATCACTTCGCTTCACAGTGCAGATAGAAGAGAGGTCACCAGTCTCAGAGAGATCTACTACAACATTTCCTGTTCTAGAAAATGCAAAAGAGAAACTCAAAATCAATGTAATGATTCTACTTTGAAGGTAGAATAATCTGTAGCAGTCTTGGCAAACCAGAAGCTATTTTTATTGCTCATGGAACAGTAAGGAGGACCAGTTCAAACTATCTATAAGCAACAATTGTCAAAACCAATAAATTAGCTGATGTGGTGAAAACTACAATGGTAGCTCCTCATTTGAATTAGAATGCATTTTATTTAAACAAATAAACAAAACAAAAAACAAAACAAAAAGGAATGGCAAGTATTGACAAGGATGTGAAGAAATGGGATCCTTATGTACCACTGGTAGGAATGTAAGTTAGTATAGCCATTACAGACAGTAGTAAAGAGGCCCTTGAAAAACATTAAAGAATCACTCTTTAACACAACAATTCTATTTCTGGATATGTATCCAAAGGAATTAAAATTATTGTGTTGAAAAGATATCACACTGCCTTGTCTGTTGTAGCATTATCTACAATAGTCAAGACATGAAATCAACCTCAGTGTCCATCTGCTCGTAGATTATAAAGATATAATATACACATAAAGTGAAATACTACGCCTTAGGCATTAAAAATGAAATGGCATTTGTGACAACACAAATGAACCTGGAGGACATTTTGCTCAGAGAAATAAATAAGGCACAAAAGAAAACAAAAATTTCATGACATCACAAGTGGAATTCAGAAGGAGAATAGTTAGGTACCAGAGGTAGGAAGGGAAGATGCTAGTTAAAGGGTACAAAGTTGCAGTTGGAAAGAAAGACTATGTTCTAGAAATCAACCTTACCAGATGGCAACAATTAATTACAATTTAATGTTCATATCATATCTGACTATATGAGGAGATATGCACATAGTTCATTCTTGCCACAGTAAAGTATACTAATGTGCTTGATTTGGACATTCCACAATGAGTATATGCATCCAAACATCAAAATACAGTAACACGAAAATGCAAAATTTGCTTTGTCAAGTTTCTCAAAATGGAAAGAATTTTCAAGGCAACAATGTCAATAGGGATGTATTACCATCATCTCTGACTTTACACTTATTTTCATATGTTGACTTAATTATTTTTTTGAAACTGGTGCTGACGTGTCCCCCGTGCCCCCCCCCCGCAAAAGTCAAGGTTAAGCTACAAAAGTATGTTATATTTCCTTTTTTCAAATTATTAATTTATGTAACAGGAGTCAGGGCACATTATTTTATACTTCAGTTCCCTCCTATGAACAGGTGCCATCCTTTCTCCTACAAATATAAGACTTTGGCTATGATAACGATATATAACATCTCATTACCTGATGTATAGTTCAGACCAGTCTTGAATTCACTACTGCATGCAGAAATTACAGGTAAGTTTTCCCACAGTTTGGGAAAGTACTTTTTTTGGATACATGGTCTCACTATGTGGTCCTGACTATCATGGATTTCACAGAGTCCTCCCTCTAGCCTCTGCTTCCCAAGTGCTGAGATTAAAGATTTGTACCACCATACCTGGCAAGAGAAAGTACAAATGGCAAAAAGATTATAGACCTTATCCTTGTCTTCACTCAGGGACTGCATTAACGCCAGTGTCAAAGAACACACATAACAGCCTGGGGCTGGGTGTGGTGTTGAATGCCTTTAATCCCAGCATTTGAAAGGCAGAGGCTGGAGGATCTCTGTGCATTTCAGGCCAGTTTTGTGTATAGTTCTAGGCTAGCCACAACTACACAGTGAGTCACAATCTTCAAAAAAATAAGGAAAAAAATAGTAACTCAATCATACGTTGTTTTCTTTAGAAGTCCTTTGCTGTTCAGCAACTTTAAGATATCTCGAGATTTTTCACGGTAAAATGATTCTCCTGAATATTCATCAAAGTGTATTCCAAGGCGCTAAAAGGATTCATAAATATGGGGGAAATGTTAATTTTTTATATGAAGACAAAACTAAAGATGTCTTACCACCCACCACAAGACAGGAAAATAAAGTTTCCACTTTCTAATGACACACAGCACCACTGGCCACGCCCTCAGAATGCACCTGCAGTTTGCCATGCAACCACAGGTATGCATGGCTTCAGAGTCTAGAGGGCACTGGATGTTTACTGTGACAGTTCCTCATCACACTCCAGGTATTCATGCAGTCAAGGGCCACTGCAGGTACTTGTGAGACCAGAAGTCTGCTACCCTTTTACAGCCAATCATGCTCCAATCTAGCCCTCTTAGCTCCCCTTTCCTACGCTCTCCGCCTTGCTCACTACCTCCCACAGAACCTTCTTTACCACCATCTAGTACTAGCTCACAGAGCATGTTTCTTGAAAGAATAAGGTCTAGAGTAGTGTTACCCTGGCACTGCTTTGAGTTATTTTGTATTTTAGATCTTTCCCCCAAGAATCCCATTTGATGGAATTTTCAACTAAACTAATGGTCTATTCTTAAATAAGAGCTTAAGCAGCAGGCTTGATAAGCAGCAGTCCCAGCAAAGAGGAACACAGAGCTTCTAGGATACCTTGTAAATCTGAGTGTACTCTTCAATGCTCAAGTCCCGAAATCTTTGCCACAGTGAAAGTGCCTGCATGTCGCCCAGTTCTAGTCGATGGAAGAATTCGTGTGCCAACTTTGCTATATTTTTATCATCTGTAGCTTCCTTATTGACTTGTACATAAACCTAAAAGTACAGTAAATACATCATTATATACTGTTCCTCCATACACAATCCCGAGGATCCCATGGAAAATTAACCACATAGCAAAGTCACTTCCTTTTCTCCTTTCACTAAGCTGATAGTTTGGCATCTTTGTTTAAAGGGCAATTTAACTTTCTTGAAACTTCATTGAGGAAGATCAATTGAAGTAACCCAGCAAATAAAAGACAAATAGAGGATTTAACAGATATTTAAAAAGTATGTTTTACTGCTTTTTCTTTGACAGTTTCACATGTCATAATACAGTCCAATTATGCTTTCCCTCCTTTCTCTCTCTCATCCCTCTCCCAATCATAACGATCTGTCCCTTTCCCAGATTCATGACTTCTGGTTTGGTTTAAACAGGGCCATATGTGTGACCACTGGACTGGAATTCTCAAACTCTGGTTGTCAACAGCAGGCGCACAACAGAGGGTGTAATGACTCCCTGATCCCTGAATCTATCAGTAGCAAATAGCTGAGCAGGGAGAGGTGGGAACATCCGAGCCTTTCCTTCATCTACACCTGACTACTCTCCAGCCCATCCTTTTCAGATGTAGTTCAGGAGCCATTTTTAATAAAAAAATGTAAAGCTATTCTCTTAATCTATGAAAGACTAGCAATGTAGGTGATGATTGCAAAAGGAGTAAGTCTAGAAAGCTTAATCACACTCCACCTTGTTGCTTAAGTTCTGCAATAAACGGGAAAGATATAGATAGGGCTAGTGGTTTACTAAGGGCTCACTTCTAATGCAGTTTTAAATATCCACAATATACTATTAATATATGACAATAGAATATTAAGAGTATAGTTCAATTAGAATTGAAGTTGTACATATAAACTAGACAGATTTTACCTAGAAATTGTAACTCACTTCCAGATTGAAATATACATGATTACATAAGATTACTAAAGTAATATAAAGACTATATAAATTATTAAAAAACCTACAAGAACAATGAGGTTTCATAACTTTTACAGTATTAAAACATGACAACAACATTTGCATAGAAAAAAATTTATTTTTGCAGAAAACAAAAGGGGGGAGTTACAAGGAACCTTTAGTCCCAGAACTCAGACAGATATAAATGAAGAAATTTTGCTAAATAAAGGTTTAAATCATCGACTTTTCTTCAGATCACAGGAATAGACAAATATATCCATGAATGGTCTGAAATTCTTACTTTGAGTCACACACATCTTGTGTACACACATAATGTACAAACATACACTGAATGATATTAAACTTCAGACTACTGTATGCATTTCAAGTCTAGCTTAAGACACACAGCTAGCAATTATAGGTAAAATCACTGCAAAGGATGGTCCACAGTGCAGTACTAAAGATGCAGATGAGTTGAGGAGGTAGGGAGACACACAGCCATGTATATTAATTCTTTTTCCTGTTGCTGTAACAGATTACCCAGACAGAGCAGCCTCAGAAGAAAGTGTTTACCTGGGTTCAAAGTTCATGGCAGCAGGAGCTGGTCACGATGAACCACAGCCATGAAGCAGAGAGACAACTGCTTGTGCTTAGCAAGCTCTCTCCTTTTTCTGCAGTCTAGAACCCAACCCTAGGGAAGAGTGCCACACACTTATTGGGTGGGCATTCCACGTCAAGACCACCTCTCACAGTTGTGGTGAGAGGCTAACCAAACCCGGCTACTCCCTCACACGTGTGCCAGGCGGGTCCTCTCCTAGGTGATTTCAGACCCTATCCAGCTGACAACCAACACCAATCATCACAACATGTATGGGGGGGGCAGCAAAACAGGTACCATGTGTGTATAATCCCAGTGCTGGGGTGTGGGAGTCAGGCAGATCTCTGGGGTTTGCTGGTTAGCCATCCTAACTTAACAGGTGAGTTCCAGGACAGTGAGGGACTGGTTCTCAAAAACAAACAAACAAACAAAGGTAGATAGCAACTGAGGAGGGAAGACACCTGAAGTCCACCTCTGACCTTTACACACATGCAGTAACATGGACACAACAACAACAACAAAAAACCATACAAACAAAAATGAGCTCGACTCGAAATAAGGCTACCAAGGTGACCATGGCTTACTGATGTGAAAATCTGTACTTCTCATCTTTAAAAATATCACCATTTGAAAATATAAGGATTAATAATACTAATTAATGTTAACTTTTGGCAGAATAGTACTCATGATTTTCATTATTAGCAAACTGGAAAGTCAAAAAAACTCCAAACTTTTCTCAGAATTTCAGTATATGTATTTTAAAGTTTCCATTGTTATTAATGTCTAGCTTTATTTCATTGCGGTCTGATAAGAAAAAAATTATCTCAATTTTTGTAACCATTAAAGTCTTGCTTTATATTGCCAACTATGGCTTATTTTAAAGAAAGCTCTAAGGCCTTCTGAAACAAACAGTGTGAAAAAGCTGAGAAGACCCTACCCCACACCACCTTCCTCACTGTGAGAGCAATGAAACCCTATGTGTTTGCATGTGTGAAGCATGTGACCCACCCCTGAGACACACACATCCCAGTCCTCAGAATCTCAATGTAGAAGAATTACAGGAATTAAAAAAGTCTTTGCACAGGGCGGTTGTGGTACACGCCTTTAATCCCAGCACTCGGGAGGCAGAGGAAGGTGAATCTTTGTGAGTTCGAGGCCAGCCTGGTCTATAAGAGCTAGTTCCAGGACAGCCTCCAAAGGCACAGAGAAACCCTGTCTCAACTCCCTCTCCCCCCCAAAAAAGAAAAGAAAATAGCATGGTTTGCACCATCCAGTGAGGTCAGATACAACATACTACAGTATTATATCTGAAAGCTGTGGGTGGGTCAAAAGGCATGCATTTTCTGAAGAAGGCCTGGGTAGAGGGAAGGAGAACTGCCTAGAGTAAAGAGGGCTGCCATGATTAGCAGCAGCTGAAGAGCCTACAGGGTGGTGGCAAGCCTCAGAGGGCACCACTCCTGGTGAGCCTACACAGGATGCTGGTATTTCTCTAGTTCTAGGCCTGGAGGACCATGTGAGAACACCCAGCTGAAGGCTGTAACATGAAGAGAGCTGCATGTGTCTAAGTGTTTGTGGGTTACTGTGTATATCAGAGACCAGTGTGGACTGAAGACAATAGGCCTGAATCTGGGAAAAATTGGCTAAAACTGTGGTAAAAAAATTGCCATTTTTCTAAGTATAAAAACATAATACAGGAAATAATTATAGAGAGGGAATATTTTATTTATTAATAATGATAAAGTGGACTTAATTGTTAAGCTCTCATCTATCAATTATACTTTTAGTGGAAAAGATAGGCCAAGTTTTTAATGTAAATCAAGATGTATGGTGCAGACCTGGAGGGACAGTTCATCAGTTCAAAGCTCACTGCCCCACTGGAGGCCGTGTTCAGTTCCAAACACCCACATGAGTTGGCTCAAACTCACTGTTACTCTAGCTTATAAGGAATCCGATGCCTCTGAGGGCACTTGCACTCATGTGAACATATCTGCACACATACACACAGAACTAAAAATGATCAAAAAAGAAGATGAAGAAGAAAGGAAGGAAGGAAGGAAAGAAGGAAGGAAGGAAGGAAGGAAGGAAGGGAGTGTGGTACAGGCATAAACTCTATGAAAAATAGAGAATACATCTTTACTCCATAGTTAGCTTCAAGAGAAAAACCAAGTAAAAAAGGAAATGACAAATGCCCTCTCTGACTTCTTTGGCTAGGGATGTAGAACATTATTTTGGTGAGTATTCTTCCTTACAGAGACAGACCATCTGTAGTCTGGTCCCCTGTATAGCACTATCATGTCTGACAGAGAAAACAAACGAGACAATGAAAATGAAATTCAACTCTGGAGATTACATGGGGGAGGAAAAGAAACCTGGGAGATAGAGAATAAAACTATCCAAAGGACCAAATGAAGAAAACAGGGCATTCACACTGGGCAAACCTCAGGAAGAAGAAATGAATGACTTAATGAAAAAATTAAAATTCAGAGAAAATTTATAGTGGTTTTCTTATACAACAAGAAAATAAAAGGGCAAAAAGAGTATGCACTAAAAATTGACAAGTCTTAGTGAATTATAATGCTATGTAATACCAGGAAGTAAGATGAAATATATAAACTAACAGAACATAGAGAAAGTTCTGTCAGTGTTTCTCTTAGCCATTAGCCTGTGTGAGACTATGTAGCACAGGCTGGCCCCCTGAGGACTAGCAATGTGTGCTGCCTGACCAGATCCTATGTGTTGCTTCTAAGACAATTCTATACATTTGGGGACATACCGCCTAAAATCAAATAAAACAGGAATTTAAAAAAAAAAAAAAACACTTGGAACTGAAATCAATCAGGTCTTGGACCCTTGTTAATTCAAAGGATATCCTTTAAAGACCTTTGTAGAGTACTCTGGAAAAAATATTAAGGCATTTTCTAAAGTTGTCTTACAGCTTACCTCAAATAGATGCTGTAAAGGATTGGACTGGAGTTTTTCTTCATAACCAAACAGCTGGAAACCAGTTCCCAGCAGACCTGTCAAGATAATGTGTAAATACAAAATTACACAATAAAATAATAGAATTTCTCAATTATAAACCCTGTGAACTACCACTATATATAAGGCATATCTTATAAAATGACACATACAGTGTGTTTAAGAAACATACTGTATCACATATTCCAAACTGTAATGGAGTTTAAGAGACTGTGAGTTCATCCAACAAAAAGGTCTAGGACCACTTAACTTTGCACCCAGAAACTCCTTGGCAGATAATAAAAAAACAAACATTTATTGAACAGCTACTTTGTGAGGCACTAGACATTAAAATTATACTGAAATATTCAAAACATACTGAAGAGAAGTGACTTTAAACTTTGTTTTTGAATGTCTAAGTATTGGTAAGAATGACATCATGTTGTACTTGTTTTGAAATGACTGAAAAACAAACAAAAAGATAAAATCTAAAACATCTACAGTTACTTCCCCATTCGAGATTTCAGTGTGGTTTATACTGCGGTTTAAGTGTGGAATGTTTCTATAAGCTCCTTTAGTGTGTGATCCCAAGCTGGAGAAATATTCCTCCTATACCCTGCTTCCTGATTGCACAAACAACATGACCAGCTATTTCATGTTCCTGCTGCCACATCTTCCCTAGCAAGAGAGTATGCAATGTTCTAGATCCCAGAGAGCACTAGGAAAGATGATTAAAGTTCTGTTTATTTTAAAAGAAAAAGAAATGTAATTGTGATTCAGGGTATTGGGAACAGAATGTGGAGAGATGTATTCTAAAAGGAAGATGAGAAAAGTAAAAACTATTCTATTTAACATTTAGTCTGATACATACTAAAAAACTAATTGTATGCACAGAAGCCATGTGTCAACTTTCAAAAGGGATAGCTGAAAAAAAATTTAATTCTTCTGCAATGGAATGTTGACAGATTATTAATTACAATATTCCTACACTGTGGAATATTAGCTTAAGATGTATTACATTGATAGGCTTGGTGGCTCACGCCTTTAATCCCAGAACTCGGGAGGCAGAGGCAGATGGATCTCTGTGAGTTAGAGACCAGCCTGGTCTACAGAGCAAGTTCCAGGACAGCTACGGCTGTTACACAGACAAACTCTGTTTTGAAAAACTAAAAAACAAAAACAAACAAAGAAAAAACAAAAGATGTGTTTCATTTATGCTATAGAATATTTGTTTAATGATGTAAAGATGCATTGCATTCTTTTATGTTGCACTTGTTTAACTCTGTAAAACTGTGTTCCTTTGCCTGCCTCAAACATCTGATTGGTCTAATAAAGAGCCAAACAGCCAATAGCAAGGCAGGCAGAACGACAGGTAGGGCTGGGGGTGGTGGGCAGAGAGAAAAAGAGACTGAGGTGCAAGAAAAGGAGAAGTGAAGGACATCAGGGTCCAGATACCCAGACACCCACCCAGCCATGCATGGACTTAAAAGGAAAGAAAGTTATATAGAATAAAGAAAGATAAAAAGCCCAGAAGCAAAACATAGAGAAAATGGAATAATTTAAGTTAGAAAAGCTGGCTAGAAACAAGCCAAGCTAAAGCTGGGCATCCATAAGTAAGAATAAGTCTCCATGTATTTATTTTGGAGCTGGGTGGAGAGTCCCCCAAAAGTAAAACAAAAACAAACCTCACAAACAATCTATATTTTTATATAGAAAAATACTATCATAAAATCCTTCAGCCAAATTTTGATGACTACTTAAATCAATTGCTTGCTGAGGCCTGTGAAATGTCTAAAGCAGTGAAAGGAATAAAAAGTAGATGCTGTCTATGATGTCTTAATTGTTTACCCAGACCTTAACCTTTGACTACCAGCTGCTGTGAAATGAACAGACGATTAACAGGTTTAAGCTCTGTTTCTAAGTTCTGAAAACATTTTTGGTAACTGAAATAATACTACTCATAGAGAAGGACATAATGAATCTCTTATGAAAAAGTTTCTTTAAATGAAGTTTCTTTTGGGAATTATGATTTCACGGTACTGACTGTGGAACATAAACATGTTAGTGACTTTCAGAACTGGTGATGTCTACCATACGCTTTTAGTGGAGCCTTACAGTACTGCCTAGCTTTGCTATTTTTAGTACTGTAAGCAGCCATTCACCACTGAGTGCCTCTTATATGCCACACATTGTGAATACAAAAATAATTACGGCATAGTCTATACCTTCAAGGAATTAGCACCTTGTGGGAGAAAGAATACACACACACACACACACACACACACACACACACACGAGTGATACAACAAAAATCCTAGTGAGAGCTGCCTTCTAAGAATTTGCTGATATGCAAAGCCATCTTTCTGTCAGAGAATGTAGCAACGTACAACCAGTCCCTCACAGTCATAACTACTCACCTGCCTTGCCTTTGGTATACCTAGGTTACCGGGTTGTATGAACCACAATGTTTCTAAATGACCTTAGACAAGATTTATGGCATGTTATTATTTGGGTCTTACCCTTTTCCTTCCGACCTCCACCTACTCCACTGAAGAGTTCAAGAGAAAGCCAAAGTATCCTGCTTTGTTTTACCTCTGGACTACTTGGTCATATAATAATAGCTACATTTCTTATAGGATGGGTGGGGAGTGTGGGTGTTGGACCTTACCAAATTTAAAATGGCAGGCTTTGGCTGAGATGGGAATACATAGCTAGACTTATTTCTCTGTGTATGCATGTCTACATTTAACCAATAAAGGTAAACCACTCTTCCTGTGTGTGTGTGTGTGTGTGTATTAAGTGTACTAATTTAGTAGGTATTGCTCTGAATATGTCAATTTAATTGTATGGTGAGAATTATATAGACTATGTATCTTTATAGGCAGATACAGCTTAGTGATAGTTCATGTTGTTACAGGTACACAGGAAACCCCAGGTTCATATCCTAGCACCACAGATACATTATACTATTTTATCTGACATGAATCTTGTCTGTATTCCATACAGATGATCAAATGAGATAGTACCTAAAACAATTGAGCCATATAATAAAATGAAAAGCATGTCAACCATACTTACCAAACTGCATGCCCCAATCTCCAATGTAATTTATTCTTGTTACTTGATGTCCTAAAGCTTCTTTTAGGTTTGCTATAAAATTTCCTAGTTGTAAATAAATATATTATTTTTAAAATCAATTTTGGCTTTAAAACTTGGCACTTCTCTATTATTATGTTATAACACAGAAAACCCTTTTAACAAAACATGGCAACTCAATCTTTTCTGCTAGAGCATTCGTGGTGTGTTTGCTTATGTGAGAGTAGGACGTAAGGGATTACTCAGTGAGTCATTGTTTCAAGTGCTCCCATAACTCTCATGAAAAGAGATCTTCCATCAGCGTCATTATCGGCAGTTAAAAACAATAATCACTATTCTTAGTTAATTCCAAGGAAGATAGGTTCGGGTGTAGAGAAATGGCCCAGTGCTTAAGATCACTTGCTGCCTTCCAGAGGACCTAAGTTTGGGTCCAAGCCCTATATCAAGCAGCTCACAACTACCTGTAACTCCAGCTCCAAAGGATGCAATGCCCTCATTGCCCTCCACAGGCACCTGCACTCATACACATGTGCACACACACACTTGAGCCAATGTAGATATGTGCACTCATATGTGTATACTCCAACCTAAAGAAAATATATAATTATATATATATATATATATATATATATATATATATATATATACACACACACACACACACAACCTGTACGTGTCGTAATACACAGAGCCATACATTGTTCTATTTTTCTAAGTAGCTCACATAATCTCCTTTCAAGCACTAAAGTGCCCATAGGCGATTGCAGAAGACATGACATGGATAGTGGCAGTGGGACTAGAGCGTGGAAGCAACGGCAGAAGAGGCAGACCCTCCCTTGGATCTGGGAGTCCCAAATGCTGTGGGAATCTTTTGGGACTTGTTCATGCCAGCTAAATTAAAAACGTCTTTAGTTTCCCCAGTAACTCTGCAAACCATTCTATTCTATAATAAATCATTTCCTGATTCAAATATAGTGGCTTGCTAGCAAACAGTTGTAATCCTAGTACTTGGAAGTCTGAAGCAAGAGGACTGCTAAAAGGTCAAGCTTAGTCTGGGCTATATAGTAGTTCTAGATCAACTCTGGCCTTAAATAAGACCCTGTAACAAATCAACAAGATTTTTAAAAAGCCTAACCTGAATTATTGCATCTTCCTTCTTTGCAAGCATTTCTATTTCTATACCTTCTAAGTCTATATAGTCTAGCAGGAACAGTAACCTTCTTCAGCTGCTACTAATATTGTGTATCTATTTTTCTTGGTACGCTGTCAGCTCACAAATACACCTGAATATATGTATATGGCTCGGAATTACACTAGTTCAGATCCCAGCCACAAATACTTTATCCATGTGATCTTGGGAAAGTTACTTCTTATGTCTAAATTTCTTCCTTGTAAATCTTAGTTAATAGCAGGGCTGTTGTGACACTGAATGGAAAAATATATACTATATTGGTAAATTGTCCTATGCTGTTCAAACTTACTGAGACGCTGTCTCCACCCCCCTACCCCCACTTCAGACCCAAGCATATTAGGCCCTTTCATTGAGAATGGGCTGGTTTCCCTAATGTAACATGCACTGAAGAATAGCAAAACAGCCCATGATATAAACGCTGTGTCCTTGCAAAGAGCTGGAAGATAAATCATTTCCACCAGAGTTTTACCTTGTGACATAAAAGCGCTTATAATAGGAAGGAGAAGCTGGAGGTTCAACTTTAGGAAACTGACTGCCTTAATATCCTACATTGGTTCAGCTGATGTCTGAGTGTCTGCTCTGATATTACCTCTGGCTGTTGCTGTTTGTTGTTATACTTAGAAGTCTCACTGAGGAGAGAGACTCTCTCAGTTGAGAACTCTACTAGCTGGCTGTCATAAAACAGTTTCCTGGTTGGTTTCTGCTGAATGTTTTGAGCACTTCACTTGACCATATTTTTTTTTTTTTGTTGTCGTTGTTGTTTGTTTGTTTTTCGAGACAGGGTTTCTCTGTGTACTTTTGCAGACCAGGCTGGCCTCGAACTCACAGTGATCCACCTGCCTCTGACTCCTGAGTGCTGAGATTAAAGGCGTGCGCCACCAACAGCTGAGGACTTGACCATATTTTGATTTTATGCTTTCTCTCTCCAACTCTGCACCCACGTTGTCTCTTTCTTTCTCTGCTTTACTGTTTGTTCTTTTATTTGCTATATACTTAATAACTATTGAATATTTTCTGGACTCTGGACTGCACAGACCAACGAGGTAGCACATATAAACACTCAGTTCACTAAATTTTAATAAATATTACCTCTTCTTGATCAAAATCACTTTCTGGATAAAGTGGTTATTTTATCCTGTTCTACTTATCCATTTCTTTCTTTTTTTCTTTTTCTTTTTTCTTTTTTCTTTTTCAAGACAGGGTTTCTCTGTATTGATTTGGAGCCTGTCCTGGAACTTGCTCTGTAGAACAGGCTGGCCTCGAACTCACAGAGATCCACCTGCCTCTGCCACCTGAATGCTGGGATTAAAGGCATGCACCACCACGCCCAGCTACTACTTATCCATTTCTCTTATGTTTTTGACTCAACTCAATGTAGACTAGGTTGTATGATGTATTTATTTCTTAGACTTTTGGTTAAGTCCTGTCATTTTTTTTTTTCCTATGAAATACTGCTCAAGGACTTTGTAACAATCAAAGCTTTCTTATGTCAACAATAATTTGCCACTCATACTAACTTGTCCAATTTTAAATATATCAAAGTAGCATTACAGATTTCTAAATTGGAATAGACTCTAATTCTAATACTATACAATTCTAAGTTGAGTTTTGAATTGTAGAGCTGAAAAATATTTTAAATAAATGGAGGACAGAACTTGAGATGGCTCAGAGTATTTGCTATTCTGGCTGTTCTTGAGAGGATCTCCAGGGGATCTGACACCACGTCTGGAATCTGTAGGCAGTTCCTATACCAATACCCACACATATACTTCAAAAAAAAAAAAAAAAAAAAAAAAAAAGCATATTATACACTGAAGCTTTACAACTATGGAATAGTTTTAGTATTCCTAAAGCAACTAATTCCTATTATAAATTTTAGTTTCCAGGTTTGAAAATTACAGTTAAGTACTGGGAGCAAATATATTTAAAACAAGGAAATATAGGAACAAAAAAAAAAAAAAAATTCTGAAAGATTTCTGCCAACCCCACCAAAATAATTTGTGACTACTTTTTATTTTTGCCTTTTTCAGTTTTCTTCTGTATGCATAACAACTAAAATTATAACATACATACTAATGAAAGCCAATTTTAGAGTCTTTACCTTTTGAAACAAATTTTGGCTTGTAACCTGTAAACTAATTGTTCAGTTCAGTGCAACATTTACTTAGCATTATGCTCATGTAAATTTACATTTTAGGGAGCTTTTTTCCCTTTTCATTTAAATTCTGACCCATTACACTGTATTTTCATATACATGCCCTTAGATATATTTAGTACTCTCTGTTAAAGGGGACACTTACCTATGATGGTAGAGCGCAAATGTCCAACATGAAATTTTTTTGCAACATTAGGTGAACTGCAAAAAGTGCAAGAATATCTTCTTATTCTAATAACAAAACTTTTGAACATGGGCTCGATAGTGCCTCTTTAGGTTGACATAATTAGGGAGTAGGGCTTGACAATTTAGGAGAAATGTAAGTTTGACATCAAATTAACAGTAAGGATAAGTTAGAATTTGGAATCACACATTAATGGCCAATAATGATTAATCCTGTGATCTATAAACTAGTGAGATACTCAGAAATGGCACACTTATGGAATAAATTATTTTAAAAGCAGGAAGATAAAAGTGCTGGGGTGATGGCCCAGTAGGGAACAGTTTATACTGATAAGATTGACAATCTGACAAAATGTTCCTTGAAATCATTAATCTGACATTTTCTGGAACCATGTTCCTACTAAGAAGGGAATCCTATGAAACAGAAAAGACAAACTCAATTACTTTGGACACCAAAGTAGCCACAACAAGATTACAATTGGATACCTTACTTCTGTAAACTATTTAATGTAATTGCCTAGTAATTTACTTTTTAAAAAGAGTGCTGTGATTTGAATGAGAAACGTCCCCCACAGGCTCAAAATGCCGACTCCTTGGTCCCAGCTGGTGGTGGTATTTGAAAATTTTGTAGGAGGTGGGCATCACTGGCTACCTATCCAGTTCAAGGCCAATGTGGAGATACTGCTTAAAACAAGGAAAGGCAAAAACACACCAGAGATGTAAAATAGCTATTTTTGTCCTTTTTATTTCTGGTTTAATAACTGACTCACTGTGACCCTAACAAAATTAACAGAATATCACTGATTTTCAACTTTCCATGTGTAATGTGATGAAAACCTAATCACCCGAGGTGTGATCCTCTCTGTGCTGTCAGGGGGATTAATCATCACATGAGAGGAATAGTCACTTACCTGAATTCTACCACAACCCTCTTCTGGGGAAGACCGGAGAAAAGTTCACTGTTTAACCCATATTTTGAGCCGTCTTCAGCTACTTGCTGAAGCACTGCCTGAAAACAGAAGGGGTGGGACTTAGTGATACCAGAAAGGGGGAAAAAAAAAAAAAAATCAATGTTCTTAACCACTTCGTTACTGGAAATTAAATGTCACTAACTTGTCCACTCTAATTATGGAGCCTAGCATTTTACAGCACTGTCAGCGATACCATCTCTAGAATCAACATCACTAGTTGCCAATTCCTCTGAGAGCACTTAAAATGTGAGATAATAATGAATAATGTAATAATATTCAATATTAAGCAACCATTGATGATGTTTAGAGGTCAGGAGGTTGAAGGCTTTTGAGCTTACATTAACTACCAAAATTTCCATGGAAACAATAATACCACAGACAGAGCAATATCTGATCAGTTATTGAGTGCAGACTATGTTACAAAGCCTGGGATGAGGATTTTACATGTATTAACTCAGTTTATCTTCAGAGCTTCAGAGATTCATACTATGCTCACAAACAAGGACGGAAAAGCATGGTGGTTAATTTTCCTAAGGTCAAAATAGTTCCTAAGGACAAATCTTTGTGTTCCAACCCTAGCACGGTGCATTCCTGTAAACTAGGCACTCAGGAGGTGGAAGCAAGATCAGAAGTTCAACTTCATCACTGGCTAGTTCTCCAATTCATGTCCAGCCTGGGACAGGAGATATGAAGTCAAATAGAAATCCTCTCTGTCAAGTGATTGTGTTAATTAGTTACTGCATGCATGCTGTTGCTGCTTCTGTACTAACTAAAGACCCCAAGTAGAACTAGTGAACAAATAACATGTAATTAAATGCCCGTTGGCTGCACAGGTAGAAGATAAAAACTGACAGAAACTTTTATAACGTACTCTAGGTTAATTTTTATTTAGTAACACGGAACTATAGTTTAGTTCACAAAATCCATAAATTATTTTTGTGCAAGTTACAATGCACTCTCTTTGTTTTTAAAAGATTCTCTTTTTATGTGTATTTTTAATTTTTTTAATTTGTATGAGTGTTTGCATGCACATACAAGAACCACATGGTACCTACAGAGGCTAGAAGAGGAGGGAGGATCCCCGGGAACCATCACCACAGATGGTTGTGAGTCACAATGTGAGCGCTGGGTTCTTTGCAAGAGCAACAGGTACTCTTAACTTCTGTGACATCTCTCCAACCCCCTAATTTTTAAATTTGAAACTACCATTATAAAATATTGTTTTTTACTCTAGAGTTGGATTTGCATTGCAAACTTCATCTGGGGCTTTAAAAATGCAGTGTACGGTTAGAATTTTATTATCGAGAATTAGTTAATATAGTCAAGAAATGAGCTAAGGCAGATGGGATATAATTGTAACCCCAGAAATTCAGAGGGGAGAATTCAATTCAGACAAGGAAGAGATGCTAGGTTATTGGCCAGCCTAGGCTACACAGTGAGACCCTGACTCACTATTTTGTTTCTTTAACCCCCGAGTCTCATTAATGCTGCCTATATACTCACTCTGTGGTGTGTGGCCATCCAGTGGAGCATGTTCAACCTACCAGGTCACATCTTTAAAGAACACTAACTTTCCCTTTGCTAGCAGCAGGCAATTGCAAAAATGTAAAGAAGGTACTATTGTTCTATCATATTCTATTCTAATAGTTAAAATAATAAAATCAAATATATTTACCAATGTGCATATTTAAATATAAGCTAAACTCATGTAAATACTGGTGCGTACAGGGTTTTAATCAGAAATGAAGTCTTTTACATTCTCAGTTTTGGAGGTTTGGCAATCAACAGATACTCCGATTGGGTGGCACTTTTCTGTGGATGACTGCGTCCTTTCTTTTTTCTAGCTCTATTGGATGACTGTTTCCTTAGTGTCAGCAGAGTTATAAGGGATTTACTACTTGCCTTGCCAACCCTTTGGTATTAAAAATCATTCATTATAAGCCGGGCATTGATGGCGCATGCCATTAATCCCAGCACTCAGGAGGCAGAGGTAGGCACACCTCTGTGAGTTCAAGGCCAGCCTGGTCTACAGAGCTAGTTCCAGGACAGGCTCCAAAGCTACACAGAGAAACCCTGTCTCAGCCACCCCTCCAAAAAATATCATTCATTATTTCTATGCTTTCCTAAGATCTAAACATGGCTTGAAAGTATTCACCTACTTACAGGCAAAACTTATTTAGCGAAGTCACAAAACAGCTCCTCCTCCTCTTGGTAAATAAAGCATGCAAAGTTGGATTTGCAAACAGAACAAGTGATTTTATTCACCATGGATTTTCAGGTATACCAAAGAAAATAAGGTTTTTATATTTTTAGAAAATGCAAATAGAACTTGATTTAAATTATCTTTTCTCCCACTTAAGTGAATTAAGTATCACAAAGGGTTACAGATTCTCCTAAAAATGATATCAAGCTTCTGACAAGTATAAGTATGGTAGGAAAGTAAGAGTTCTGCATGCCATTATGGATAGTCCACTTCACCAAGCCATGGAAATACTTGTAGTAACTAATCCAACTGGACATCTCTAAGCTAGGTAAAATTATACAGTTTCTTAATTGAAATAAAGTATACAAGTCATGGCCACTGAAATTTTAAGTTATTATATAAACATACATTTTCCCTGGAAGTGTAAACACTATCTTTCAGCTAAAGTAGCTTTAAAGGTAAAATTCTACGTCTTTCCCCATTATAAGGAAAAACAAAAGGAGGGAAATACTGCAATTGAGGGTTTAAAGTATGGAAATGTGACAATATCCATTTCTACTTCCAAATAACTGGGAAAATAACTATAAAAGCATCACTTTAAAAAGGTCAGTAAGTAACTTAGAGGCTTCTAAATCACCACAAAATGATATTGAGAGACCTGTGAGCCTACAGCTGGCCTTGGCTCTTATTGAGAGGGAAGGGGATGGGGTCTGGGAGATGAGGGCACCAACAGGTTGAAGGCACTGTTTTAACAAGCTCAGAATAAAACTCCGTGTGTGCTGGTGGATTCTGGTTAGCTGCTTTACTACAGAATGAAAGACAGCTGAAGAAAATAAAATCCCCACGATCTAAAAACAGCACTAACCATTGAGAAGACTGGTGAGGAAACACTTGAGACTCGTAATTATTTTCAGTTCAAGACTGCCATATTTACTAAGCCTCAACACCCCACAGTAGGCTATATTTCTTTTTAAAAGTTGGCTAAAGCATGCATTATAAATGAAAAGTTTGATCAAGATGAGTTTGAGTTAGTGGTTTCAGGTAATCACTTATGCAGGGTCACCTATTCTCCGATGTGGTAGCTTAAGTGAGAGACAATTCCTTTGCAAGGCTTCTCCAATACCTCCAGGCCTAGCTTGAGTGAGAGACAATTCCTTTGCAAGGCTTCTCCAATACCTCCAGGCCATCCTGAGTTCAGCATCTGAATGTTTTCAGTCTTACTGTATTAACAGCCTTCTTACTTTACCATCCACTGTATTATTAAAAAAGAAAAAACTATCCCATGATGTCTCCAGCTTAAGACGTATGGTTGCAACAGGCTACCAGGGAGTAGAAATCAACACACTTTTACTACAGAGCATATTTATTAATTCAACAGTTATTAACCTAGAATCTATGATGCACCAGGCATTATGCTAAAACATGGAACTAGAGCAGTGGGAAAGATGGATGCCACAAACCCCAAAGTGAGTTAGAGTTTAAAGCACAAGTGGCATCAGTCAAATAAACGGAATGTGCTGGGCAGTGGTGATGTAAGACTTTAATCCCAACATTCAGAAGGCAGAGGTACGTGGATCTCTGTGAGTTTGAGGCTAGCCTGGTCTACAGAGTGAGTTCTAGGACGGCCAGGGCTACATGGTGTCTTGAAAAACAAAAACAAAAATGAGAAAAAAGAAAGAAAGGGAGGGAGGAAGGGGAGAAGGGGGGGGGGAATGTAAAACAGCAAGGTAATTTCTGCAAGAAAGAGATTAGCAGTGCTGTGACAGCCTGCAGTGAAAAGATCAGTAAGCAACTATCAAGGGCTAGGAAGTAACTCAGTGGTAGAGCGCTCGCTTAAGCACACGAAAGCCCCAGATCTGAACACTGAAAGTACCAAAATAAGAAAGTAAGAAAGATTAATTAATACTGCACTCCAGACTGAGGAATCAATCATGTGCACAAGTTTGGAGGCAGCATATCAAGTTTGAGAGCTGGGAGATCAGTGTGACTAAACCAGCATGAAAGCACAAAGACTAGACTACCTACAATCCATTCTTACCTTTGTTAACAATTCTCTGTTTATTTTGAAGTTCAGAGTCCCTGGGCCAGCACTGATGGCAGTCACCACTGTATCACATTTAAGCTAAAAAAAAGAATAACAAATCACGTAAAGCAGGCTATACTATAGAATAGACCTAATGAGATAGATAGTTCTGACATCATGAAACTGGATTACAAGACAGCAGGTGAGTCAGTCCTCAGGCATTTTAGCTGGACCAGGGTGTCAGCCAATGTCTTCTGTTATAAACCCTGGCTACACAAACACATTTTCTTTCCTTTTTTCCTCACTAGAATACTATTCAGTCTCTCCTTTCCCTTTTCTCTTTCCTTTACTTCAAATTTCCCCATCTATCATACAGTGAACACTTTATCTTATTCATCTTTCACGATAGCTACAAACAGGACATCGAGTCAGGACCTACTGCTAAAGCCCTTGCACAAACACACAGATTGGCCTCTTAAAGTATCTATTTATCTTGCATGTGTCCATTCAAGCCCTCTGATAGATTTATGGAACTAAAGATGCCTGCTGTCGCTGGGTGGTGGTGGTGCATGCCTTTGATCCCAGCACTCAGGAGGCTAACAATTTATATTTGGTTATCCACTACAATCTTTCCAATTCCTCTGTTAGGCCCATGAGAAAGAGTTTAGGAATACAGAAAGTTTATTAAATCATCTAACTATGACTTCTCTGTGATCATTCTGAATACATTATTTCTGCTCATGTTTTTAATGCTCTTCTCAGAAGTTCATTTCAAAAGATTGCAACCTGCTGCTCTAATATACCAGTCTGTTTCCTGGATTCAAGCATTTATCCAGGGGCTTGGTGAGACATCAGATGCTAAGAACACTCACTGGCAGCTCTTCCAGAGGACCTGGGCTCTCTTCCATTCCTAGTGTTCATCTGTAATGCCAGTTTCAGGGGAATAAATAAATCTGTCTTTAAAAGTTTATACAGTTTCTGCTTCTTTTCTTTTTCTTCTGAGAAGGTAGCTCTGTCTGTCTGTCTGTCTGTCTGTCTCTCTGTCTGTCTGTCTGTCTGTCTGTGTCTATCTCTTTCTGTCTGTCTCCCCTTCTCCTGTGCCTTTACCTTACCCCCAAAACTTTCCACATTAATAAATGTTTATACAGTTTCAACCTATAACTTAACAATTTAGTCCTGTGGTTAATAAAAAAACAAAAGACCAATTAAACAATGTTAGCTCAGGATGTGTACAAAGCAGTTTTCATTGTCAGCCTGACAGAACCCAGTCACCTGGGAGAAAGGAACCTTACTGAAGAATTGTCCTGATTGTCCCATGGATTGATGACTGCTGTGGTAGGTGGTGCCATTGCTGGGTAAATGGGCCTGAGTTATACAAACAGGCAAGCTAAGCAAGAGCCAGAGGGAAACACAGCAAGCAGCGTTCGTTCACCTATGTGCATCAGTTCTTACATAAGGTCCTACCTTGACTCCCCTCAGTGAGTGACTGTTGCCTAGGCAAACAAACCCTTCCTTCCCCAAGTCACTTTTGGTCATGTTTGCCACAGCAACAAAAGGAATACTTCACAGCTAATTTGAAGAATCAGGGAAACCTCATAGCATGCAGCTAAAATGAACTGAAATGTTTTCTACGATCACCATTTAATTCATATAGCTGAGCTCTGCTCTCCTTTAAGGCTAAGTTTCCTGTAAGGCCAAGATAAAATACCTCCTCTGCCAGTCTCCTGGCTTGATCTTGAGTATCTAGCTGTGACTTGTGATTGCTGTCTTCTAGCAAGGAATCCACAGAAAGCTGGAAATCTGCCACTTCTCTAAAGATAAACATTCAGAAAGGAAAATTGTTAGAAAAACATTACTTGTCTAACAAAGACTAAGCACTTTCAAAATTAAAAGCCAAGAAATACAAAACTTTTACCTATAGCTTCTAAAATGTTGGTTATTTATAAAATTCTTGCGTCTTACCTAAGTTAGTCCTACTCTGTCTCTGTCTCTAGCAAGTTAAATAAATGCAACTAGTAAAGCAGCTTCAGAAAAGGCCACTTACCGTAAAGCTGTTTCTCCTGCTAAGTGCTTGTTTATAACTGTCTAAATAACGGGAACAAAAACATTTTAAATTGTTCTAATTTAAGTTTCAACATAACAAAATAACCAACCCTATCAAAGGAGCTATGTGCAACTGATGCCTGCTGGGAAAGGAAAATACAGTTTTCACCAATGGAGTGTCCCTGGATACATCAACCACACTATAGAGTAGGCCCCATGCCCAGGAGTAGTTGGCCAACACGATTTTTTTTTTTTTTTTGTGGGTTTTCAATTTTCTTTTGGTACTTTTAATATTATTAGGATTTTGTTTGTCTTGATTTTTGTTTCATTTTGTATTTCTTTTTTTTTAAAAGGGAGATGGGGAAACAACATGAAGTTGGGCTAGCAGGGAAATGGGAAGGATCTGGGGATAGTTGGGTAGGAGAAAGAATATGATTAAAATATATGCAGTCTACTGGAGATCTGCTTTGCTCTACAGTTGCACATAATAATAAATGGGAGAAAAGGGGCAGGTGAGGTGGGGTGTGGTCTGAGATCAGGGGTTGAGAAATGTAGCATTGACCTTGGCAATAGGCATCAGTCATATGCTAATGAAAGGGCCACAAGTCCCTCTAGCCAGACCTAAGGAGAATAACTGCTTTAGCAAGCAGGAACTTTCCTTAAGCCCCACTCCTACCCCAAGGGAATGTAAGTCCTTATCCAAATGCCTGACCTTAGAAAAAGGATGTCTTCTGGGGACAATTTTCATTCCTTAAGGGGACAAGCACTGAGCTGTTCCCTAAATATGTCCCTTTGTGTCTTAGTCTTACTCTATGGGCATGTTCCCTTTGTACACTCCCCAAAGGGAACCGCACCATTCTCATTTCACTCAGTATTTATTAACTGAACTCTTGCCCTTAACAGCCTTAGGCTCTGGATCTGAATTGTAGGCATTTTATCTTTGGGATTAGGTGTGGCTAGTAAATCTCTAACATTCCTGTTCTTGGTGTAATTAGGAGGGCACATTGAGATTGCTTGTTCTGTAGCAATGGGGATATTTTTTCCAAAAAATTATTTTGTTTAGTGAGGCCATTGTACTCATTTTCACCCTTTACCAGAGCCTGCACAAAATTTTCCTAAGGGAAAGGCATTAATAGAATCGGTAAAAATGACACTGAAAAGGTACTGGGGAATGAAATGCTGGAACTTTGTCAAGCAGCAATGGTCACCATGTAGTTAGTCCACACCAGCAGTCCCAATCTCTACAAACACTCCTGAACCTAAGGGTCAGGGAACATTGCAGAAGATGGGGCAAAACGACTGTAAGAGCCAGAGGGTCAGGGAAACCCTGTGCTGTGAGACTGTGTTTCCTAGTAATGTCAAGCTACACCCATAAGGTGTCACTAACCTGACTATGTAAACAAGAGCCGAATAAGGACACCAATAGACATGACAAACTGGACAGAGAAAGCCCAAGAGGCTTCAACCCAATAAAAAAGAACTGTAGGCAACTGAGGAAAGCTGGGAGCAGGAAATGCGGCCCTCCCTAAGGAAGAGTGCAACAATTGCTTGTCCAGTGCAAAACAATCAGCCCCCAAACATACATACAGGTAGCACCTAACAGGTTATAATTAAAAATATTTATGTATACACATATACTTATTAGCACTATGCACACTGAATGGGTAGTATTTAGGAATAAATGTGTATATACCTATACTTATTTGCATGCAATAAAAATAAAAAAGGGGGGATATGAAATTGAAGAAAAGCACAGAGGGAAATATGGGAAGATTTAGAAGAAGAAAATGGAAAGGAGAAATACTGTAACAAATTATAATCTAAAAATAAATAAAAAATGAAGTAAAAAATGTATGAAAAAAATTTTTAAAAGGGTTTAAAAAATCCAAGGAAATTTCCTGTTATTTTGTTTGTTTGCTTTGTTTTTCAAGACAGGGTTTCTCTGCATAGCCCTGGCTATCCTGGAATTAACTCTGCAGAAAAAGACAAGGCCAGCCATAAACAAGTACACCACCACTGTCTGGCAATTTCCTGAGCCTCAACTTGCCAATCCAAATTGGTATCTGAGCTGTAACTACAAATTCAAGTTCATCTAACAATTAATGTCTGTGTAATCCTGCACACATTGCTCAATCTCTTGGTACCTCAGTAAAATGATAACAAGGGTATCTACTTGATAGGGTTATTGAAAAACAATATCTTAGTTATAAATTATGTTAGTCACAGATCTGATGCTAAACAGCATATCAAATACTACCAACACTAACATCTTAGGGAAGCCTTTTCTTTGTCCTTTATATTCCAAAATGGCTGGCAAACTATGTTCTTGTTTCTTTTTAAGATTACTCTTGCTACTATGTATTTTTTTTTTTTTAGAAAAGATTTATTTATTTGTATACAGTGTTCTGTCTGCATGTATGCCTGCAAGCCAGAAAAGGGTGCCAGATCTCATTCACATGTTTGTGAGCCACTATGTGGTTGCTGGGAATTGAATTCAGGAGCTAGTGCTCTTAACCTCTGAGCCATCTCTCCAATCCTCTAAGATTATTCTTTACAAGGTACAAGATGACTCCACTTTCTGAAAATGAAATTTAATTGTAGAAATTTATTTAAGGTTTTGAATGTATTTATTGTATTCTTCCTTACCAAAGGATTTTGAACCAATCTATGGGCAACTAAAGAAATGATTTTAGCAAAATAGGAATAAAACACAAATAAGGACAGAAACAACAAAGGTTTTTAAAAGTCAAAGAAAATAAAGAAAAACTAGAATATGAGCTCTAATATTATTGTAATGATAGGGATTTGAATATATCAAAGGGCAAATTACACTTTCTTGATACAGAGCTGGGATTCTTTATTAAATGATTTAATATGACCAGAGTCTTTTTCTTAAATAACTTGTTTATTCTTATTTTATGTATATTAATGTTTTATCTGCATGTATGTCTGTGTGAGGGTGTCAGATCTTGTAGTTTATAGACAGTTGTTAGTAATGGACCAAAAATTAAAACTAATAGAAGTTTAAAAATTTGGGCCCTAAATCTATACAAGGAAAGGAAACTCCACTGGTAAAGGAAAATTTAACTCTTTAAATCATGAGTGCCATGGCTGGCACCTGAGCCCCCTCTCAGAGAAGGGGAAGTGACTGGCCACCATTGTGTCAACATTCCTATGTCTGCTAATTGCTGGTCATAAAGGTCCCCTGATGGTTGTAAAGATCCTTCAGCCCAGGGGATAAGTGACAGACCCTGTGACCCCATAACTCTGCATCCCCATGCTGCCCTGTCTTATCTTTCTCAAATGTATCTTGCTGAAAATATATAGTTACTACTTTACTCTGTACTTTGTATAACCTTAAGTCACCATGGAAACTCTGAAATTTGTGGACTTCAACCTTATGGTCTTCCCCTTTAAAAGCTTCCCTTTATGGCTGGTTGGCATCTCATTCCCCTGCCATGGAGTGAGATCCAAGCTGGCTAGCTTGAACAATAAAGAGAAACTTTTGCATTTGCATCGGAATTGTCTGGTTCCTTGGCTTGGTCTGGGACTCTGTGAACCTGGCACAACAGTTAGCTGCCATGTGGGTGCTCTGGTCCTCTGGAAGAACAGTCAGTACTTTTAACCACAGAACCATCTCTTCTGCCCTATGACCAGAATCTTGCATGGCTCTCAAACATCCAGGAAGATTAAGAAAAAAAACAAAAAACAATCATAAGTTGCTAAAGATAGGTTTTAAAATTTTATGGATAGTAATAGACATCTGCAGTTTTATTTTTAACATGGTGACATATTATTCTAATGGAGTCACAAATATTTCCATTAATTCAGTGGCAGAGGACAAAAAGCAAAAGCACTCTTGTAGACTATTTCAACTTAACTTGCTGGCAAGAACACTGGAAACATAAACTCTGAAGTTATGTTCAGGGTTGCTCCAGTAAAAAGAGAAGGAAGTGGTTCAGGAAAGTGAGGGAGATCAACGACCGATCTCATCTATTTCTCCTTTTTGGGAGATTTTAATCATACAACCACAAGGAACTTTTATTGTCTATTAAGAGAGAACTATAAAAATATGAAATGGAAAATAGTCAAATGCCCATCAATAGTAGGACATTATAAGTTAAAATATAGCTATAAACAATGAAATTGAAATGACTAAGGTACCTAACAGCATCCCATACCAATGTTATCTTGTGCCTGTCAGCCTTCCACCCACACAGTTACACTAACCTTGGCACCACTTCTGGACTTGGCCATGGTCCAGGCATACTATATAGTGTCTAGATGTCACCGCTGGGTGTTTCGAGGAAAGCAGATGTTCCTAGGCCACTTTAAACCCTTGCTAATGCTTCTCTCTTACAAACACACCCCTAGAGTACTGATGTTTTTATGGCTTTGTTTTCTTCTTAATGCTGCCTTGAGTTTGGGCACCAAGGGACTTTCTAGAGTCATGAGCAGCTCTTGGTCTAGCCATCAATAAAAAGGGCTTAAAACTTGTTAGCTCATGCCTTTAATCCCAGCACTCAGAAGGCAGAGGCATGTGGATCTCTGTGAGTTCAAGGCCAGCCTGGTCTACAGAAAGTTCTAGGACAGGCCCTAAAGCAATAGAGAAACCCTGTATTGAAAAACAAAACAAACAAACAAAGGACTTAAAACTCTTAATGGGCTTAATCAGTGAGGTTGTCAATAATGACTTTGTGTGGATCATTTCAACATCAAGAGGAACTATCTTGAAATCTCTAACGATTACCTGCTACATTTTGCTTAGAAACAGTAAAGAGAGGGGAGAACATTTAAAAGATGTAATCGCAATGCTTTGAAAACCAGTAGCTATCAACATTATCCAGTGCAGGAGAAAACTACAGACCACACAATGTTGGTCCTGTGCCAAAAATGATGATGGTAGATGATTAGGAAATAGGTTTCTTTAAAGTTCCTCCACTTCCTGGAATTCCTTATTAGGATGGTTATCCTAACTGTCAACTTAACATTTTGCTAAAAAAACTTCAGTGCTTGGATAAAATGTAGTCTATCCATGAATGTATAGCAGCCTTGGACTGCAATAACATAAATGTTCAAAGAAAAGAAATTATATCTACATTAAACATGAACAAATTTTTCATATTATCTCAAACAATACACTAATAACAACTACTTATATAGCATTTGCCTTGTAACAGGGATTATAGGCATATAAAAATGATTTGCAGTACATGAAGGGTATATGGAGGATGCATGGAAATAACACACTACTGTTTGCAGCTTCTGCTGATTGTGGATCTCTAAGACTACCTGCCGTCAATCACCAAAGGATGGCTGTACTCTATCAATTAGTTAATAAGCTTGCCACATAGTAGACCCTTAGCTCTGAGGTTTTTAAAGGTGAAATATAAAATTCTCAGTACTGGTATATCCTTTGTCCCCTTAATTTTATTAGAACTTTCAGGTAAGAGGGGTGAATATCCCCTCTTTTCATGAAAAGGAAGTAAATAGAAAGAGAAGGCAAAGATTAGAGAGCACCTATAAACTTACTATTTTTAGCTTTGAAAGAAAAAATGCAAGTAGGGCTGGGTGTGGTGGCGCGCACACACCTTTTATCCCAGCACACAGAAGTCAGAAGCAGGCAGATCTCTGTGAGTTCAAGGCCTGGTCTACCTAGAGAATTTCAGGATAGCCAGAGCTATGTAGAGAGACCGTTACCTTTCCCTGCACCCAAGAAAACAATATAGTTTTTTGTTTGTTTGTTTGATGTTTCTAGACAGAGTTTCTCTGTGGCTTTGGAGGCTATCCTGGAACTAGCTCTTGTAGACCAAGCTGGTCTGGAACTCACAGAGATCCACCTGCCTCTGCCTCCCAAGTGTTGGAATTAAAGGCATGTGCTACCTCCACCTGGCTGAAAACAATATAGATTTTATATAGCCGTAAACAACAGTTTCTATCACTTGGGAATCTTCAAATAAAAACTCAAACAAAACAACACAACCAAAATGGCAGATAAGTATGGTATAATAGTATTTAAGCATCAGCTGATTATACAGTGTTCAATAATCCTTCAAAAGCTCTGAGATTATAAACACATTGCCATTCTTTTATTGTTAAACAATTAAATTAGAATCTGCTTCCTAAAGACTTACATTATTGCTAGCAAAAACAAACATGAAAATAATTAACAAAGGAATATTACAGTCCTCCACAGAACACCTAAATAGAATTGTAATTTTATGATACCAATTGTAGTAAGTTGAATATAATGAAGCATAACTTTTAAGGACTATTAGATAAACTGTTGAGTAAGATAAAGAGTTAAGTAAAATTAGATTGCCAACAAATTCACCAATTTCAGATCACTGCAGTATACTTAACTGTTTCTTTGAAACTGGAACTGCAGATATTGACTTGATCAAGCTTTCTGGTGGAAGAGCCAATATTCTAGAAAGCTAAAAATAAAAAAAGGAACAGGTCAAAATTGTTGCTGTATCTATTCCAGAGTAAATGGAATGTTTCAAGCACTTAGCACAAATGAATCTCAAAGACATGACACTAAATAAAATCCATAATAAAGAAGTTATATAAACTATCAGACTGAGGTAAAGAGTTGTAGATGTCAGGGGTTGAGTATAACATAAAGGTTTGACTCTAAAGTAGCAAGCAGGACTACTTGTCTTTCAATGGATTTCATGTTGTCAATTTAAAAGAAAAGTTTAGAGAAATATCTGAAAAAAGGTATGAATCACTGAGAATCCAAAAACATTTTTCATTAAAAAAATTAAGAGTAACTTATGTGTACTAGGCAGTATTTTAGATATTGATGCTATAACAATGAACAAAACAGAAAAAAATTATAGTACTTAATAGTAACAAGCAAACATTAGGGGAAAATAAATCTGATCCCCATGCCCAAACCCTATTAAAGGTTTACTCATCAGAATAGCAGGAGTAAATACACAAAAGAAAAATTAAACAAAAAACAAAGCAAAGGCTACAGGCTAACTCATTGGTCAAGCACCGGCTACTTGCCCTGGGTTTGGAATGTACGAGACCCCAGAATTGCTCTTTAGCACACAGATAATAAGTGAGTGGAAACCGGTGCATCTGTATTTGTGAGAAGCTTCTTTCATGATTATGCTAAGGTTGGTGGTAGAGGCATTTCTATGCTCAGAATAACACTGTGACATAGTTATTCCTTGGACATGTGTCAAACAAGAGACCACTACAGAAAACCACAATCAAGCAAAATTCAGTTGTGGAGCCAAGCCTCATAACTTCAGTGCAAACAATGTATTTGAGAGATGACTCATGGGAACTAGGTGTTGGGCTGAGAAGAGTGAGAAGGAAGGAGAAAAGTTTACAGAAGATTATACCAACAGGGCTGGGACAAGGCTCAGTTGGTAAAGGGTTTGTCATGAATGCATGAGGATCAGGGTTTGAAATCCTAGCGCTCCTGTAAGGGCTGAGCAAGGTGACACATCTATACCTTCCACATCTGGTGCTGTAGAGAGATGGGGTATTAGGGATGAGGAAGAAAAGGACCCAATGCTGGGTATGAAATAACCAAGTAGATCAGATAAGAAGTTGGGAGGGGGAAGGAACGAATATAATAAAAATACATTGCATGAATTATTTTACATAAAAAAGGAGGATAGAACTGTGAGTCAGTGTCATCAAACCAGTCAGCTTCCTTGAACATATGCAAGACATTGTTGCCCATTCATAGGTACTAAATTGTAAGTAAGGATTGTAGCTATTTTAGGAAGGAGACCACTCTGGACTACACCACAGACATGGAGTTCTGGCACAGGTAACCAAGAAAAACTGCAGCTACACCTTGATAATGTCAATGAGAATTCCTGAAAGAAAGCCATGCTGTCTGCAGTGGCAAAGGAGACTTTGGAATGTTAGATCCAGAACCTAATTACAAGTCACTGTTGGACCCAATATCTTGCTTCTACTAGCTAGACCTAACATCCTGACAAACTTTCTAGGATGTGTTAACTTAACAAAATCTTAGCTCCCCACCCGGCAAAGGGCTAAGAGTGCTGTCAGATAGCATCTAAAGGCTATAGAGGAGTTAACCCCATCTTGTAACCTACCTGACCAGTGATTCTGCCAATATGTTTTTTAAAATGCCTTGATTTAGAACTTTCTTTGTTCTGCTACTGCAAAACCCCCATGAAACTGCTTCCATATTGCCACTATGGAAACTGAGATACCATAAATCCATGTTCCTAGGCCATGGTCACTCAAATTTGGCTCCAGAATAAACTCTTACCCTCTTTGAGAGCTAAGACTAAAATCTGGTCATGAGAACAAAGAAAGCAGAGCTAATTCATTGTTGACAGATCCTGCCCAGGGCTAAGAACAACAGCACCTGCAAGGTGCACCGACTAGCAATGCCTTCCTGGGATAAAGGTCAGCAGAGACACAGTCAACAGCTAGAAAGGCAAGTCAAAGGTAGAGAAAGGGGCTTCAAAGGATGACCACTTCCCTAACTGAGCACATAGTACATAGGTTACAGCCAGGATCACCTCCCTGGTGGGCCAGAGGAACAAGCACAACCACTAGAGAAGCCCTGAAACACCTACCCCACCCACCACCACTCCCACAAATAGCCACAGACTCGACTCCATTCCAAAGGCAGAACCCTGCCTCAATAAAAAACAAAACAAACCATTGTTTCATTCTCTCATCTCTCAGTTTTCTGTGGTTTTAGTATTTTGGTCTGTTGTCTTTCCCAGATAGTCAATTCTCTGACTGTCCTATGCAGTCAATTCAGCTAACACTAGAATCATCACTAAACCCTGGGCTTCCTGGCTAGCCAGGCTTGCTGAATGTTTGCTCAACTCCAAGTTCAGAATGAAAACCTGTCTCAGAAAACGCGATGGACAGTGATTAAGGGAAACACACCCAACCTCTGGCCTCTCCATTTGAAGGAACACACAAACAGACACAGACCTTACATTAAAGCCACCGATATAAACGAGTTTAATTATCAAAGTGCTGCCTAAGAAGCCATGCAACATCTTCCAGAATGGTCTAAAACAACTCAGCCAGACTGGGCCTAAATCTGTGCTAGCACTAGCAAAACCCAGGCAGCTGGATCCATCTGGGTTTTTTTGTTTGTTTTTGTTTTTCCATCTCCCAGAAACTGTAGTTTCAGACTTCCTTAGCCACACAGGTTTTTCTACATAGGCTCTGGAAATTCGAACCCAAGGAACCATCTCCACGGCCCTCAGCATGATTTTTTTTTTTTTTTTTCTTTTTGTTTTGTTTTTTTCGAGAGTTTCTCTGAGTAACAGCCCTTGCTGTCATGGAACTCACTCTGTAGACCAGGCTGGTCTCAAACTCAGAGATACACCTGCCTCTGTCTCCCAAGTGCTAGGATTAAAAGTGTGCACCACCACGGGCCAGTCCTTAGCATGATTCATAACCATCAACTTTAATCAACGCTCCAAAATAAATGACTACAAACATTAATTTCCACAGGGTCCTCCCAGGTAAAATCATGACAAACGGGAATGCCAAGACAGAGAAGCACCGCGTGCTTTTGCAGCGCAGGGAGAAGGCAAAGCCGGCCGCAGACTGCCCCCTCGGGCTCGCCACTCGCGACAGTACCTGACAGGCGATCGACCTACGAAAGCCGCACGCCATGCCGTCCGGACGCCCGCCTCCGCACGCCCCGCCTCCGTGCCGGAAGTCGCCTCTGCTTCCGCAGGGGCGCGCGGAAGTGTTCAGTGCGCAGGCACAGGGAGCCGTGGATTATGGCCACTTCCTCGGTGTCCAAGGTACGTGGGGGTGGCGCTTGCCTGAGCTCCGCGGTGTCTCTTTGGCAAGCACGGCGAGGCGGATGGGCATTGGCTGTGGCTCCGGGAAGAGCAGAACTCGGGCGGCTTTGCCTAGGTCCGGGTTCGAGGACATCTTTGCTTTGGCAAAGTAGGCCGTGGCACCAAGACAAGCCGGCCGGCTGCCCCAACTGTATGCCGTGGCCCCTCCGCGCCCCGCTTCCACCCCCCCTACCCCGCAGAAGTTCCTTCTGTGCATTTAATTACCGAAATACAAACCTAAACAAAGTGTCTTTCTGCACTCAGAGATATGAATAAGCAGCTAATCTTGAATTGCCGTATTAGTAAGGGGAAAAGTTCTAAGAGAAGAGGGAAGAACCAAGAGCTCTAGGAAACCAGCGAAGCTTTTGGAGACACAGTTTGGCCAAGACCAGAAAACTAAGAATCATGGAGAGCATATAAAGCAGGAGGGTGGGAGAGCAGAATGACATGTTCTTTACCATAGAATGTAGAAACAGAGGAACATGTTAAATAGAAAACTCAGGATAACCCGAAAGTGGAGAAAGGAACATGAGGGGGGGGGGAAAGAGAGAACAAAAGTATAATTCAGATGAGTGTATTGGGGAATCATGGACTGCCTTGATGGCAAAGGAGTGCAAATCAAAATGTAGTTTATAAGAGGAGAAATTCTAGGATTGTATCGCCCCCTAGCAGCCTGTGACTATTTACATTTGAATTAAGGTAGATTAAGTTTACCATTAGCACCTGCTATATTTCAGTAGCACAACAAAACAGCAGCTGTTTGACATTTAAGTTAAAGTTTTACTGGACTGTGCTGCTATGCCGAGTAAAAGACTTCAGTTTTAAGTGCAAAGTGGTATTAACATCACAGACAGCACAGCAGAAGTTGTGAGGATTCTGGCCCACATGGTGGAGGGAGTCCTCTCACAGTTCACAGGATGAGGGCTTCTGCAGGAGACTGGAATATTGTCTGTTTTGACCAGCAATTCATGGTTGCTTGAGGTAGCCAGTGAGTGCTCATTTCATGAAGTTTAGGTGATGGATAAACACCTTTCCTGTTGGGCATTTCTGAGGGTGTGGAGCAGGGGAGACAAGAATATAAAAACAAGTTACTGTAGTTAAACCAAATTATAGTTGTCACTGTTCAACCAAAATAGAGACACTTTACAAATGGTCCCCACCCCCAAGAGCTGGGATTAGAGGTGCAAGTCCCTCCTCTAAAATCTTTTGAAGGACTGACTGGTAGAAAAAGAGATTTAACTGCACTAGTGCTTTTATTAGGGTTATTCCTTGTTTATCCTTGACTACAAAGTTCCAGATGTTTTAGATGCTCTATCTTCTAATACTGTTTGCATAAAACTTCCTTTCCTTTCTTACTTATGGGTATAACTCTGTAGTTTGTACATACTGAGCAAGCACTCTACCACTGAGCTGCATCCCCAGCTTTAGTCCTCTCATTTTTGTAAAACTTGTAGAAAATGAGAATTTTTTCCAGAGAAGCCTTTTTTTTTTTTTTTTTGCTTTGTCACAGAAATAGCTATGCTGATGAATGATTATGACATAGATCTTAAATAAATAAGAACCTTTAAAGACCTTTTAAGAAACTCATTGAACTGCCAACATTTTTAAAATTTATTTTTCTTCTCCTTAAACCCATCAGGTTTTGTTATTTTTCTTTTCATTCAAATATGTGTGTGTGTGTGTGTGTTTGTGTGTGTATATAAACATGTATGTGTGTGTGTGTGTGTGTGTGTGTGTGTGTGTGTACATATTGTTTTGTTGCTTTTTTGAGACAGGGTTTCACTATGTAACAGCTCTGCCTGTCCTGGAACTTGCTTTGTAGACCAGGATGGCATAGAAGGCACAGACATCAGCCTGCCTCTGGCCCCTGAGTGCTGGGATTAAAGGCATTTGCCATCACCACCTGGCTACTCTTCATATTTTTTGACTGATGGCCTTCTAGTCTAACATGGTTAACCATATTACTGTTATATGTTTCTGTTAGTATTCATTGATTGTATTCATAGCCTGCCCATCTTTATTAATATCCCATTTAGAACTCTTTATGTTTTGCTGCATCAGTGCTATCCTTAACTGATTAGCAGGTCCATATGGAATGGATGCAGTGATATGCGTGTCATGGTACAAGGTACTTCTTAAAAATAGGTACAAGTAATTCACATAGCTTTACTAGTTGCAAATATAAGTACAACTTAATTTGAAACATGTAATTCACATGGCCATTTTATATTTTACACAGCTGTCTAACACTAGTCCTGAGATGCCCCCCCCCTTTTTTTTGGTCATACTTTGCTTCTTTTATTCTCTCTTTTTTAGGAGACTTAGGAGACTGTGCATAGAAGGTAACTTTCATTTCGGTAGAATACAGCACAACTAGAAACTTAGGAGCCAAGTAATAATAGGAAACTTAATGTGACTGCAAAATTACTAGGGAAATTACTTAGCAAGTATTTATTCATTTTGTATTCTGTATACTGTAGTTGTTAGTACTCTCATAAATATTGAGGAGATGATTATAAATAACATATCTCTGCTGTAAATGTACTTACAATTTATCAGGGAGACAAAGCAAAGATGTGTGAATCCTGAGATCTCAGGAGAAACATTTCTCTTGAGAGAATCTAGGAGGGTCCCCTGCAAAAGATGCCAGATTGATTTTTTTTTTTTTTTGAAAGATGGCTTTACCTCAATTTTGTAAGTGCTGGGATTACAGAGATGAACTATGAGTTTTGAGCAAAACTGTAATGGATAAATGGAAAGGAATGTATTAATGAATAGGAGATGTTGGGTGGAACAAGACCAAAATTACCTACTTATATCCTAATTGTAGATACTTAGAATTAATTAAAGAAGTAATCATTTTGGAGTGGGAGAGTATCAGTGTTTTTTAACTTAATCTTTATTTGTTTATTTATTTGAGTCAAGGGGTCTCTGTGTAGCCCTGACTGTCCTGAAACTCACTCTGTAGACCAGGCAGATCTTGAATTTAGAGATCTGCCTGCCTCTGCTTTGCAAATGCTGGGATTAAAGGTGTGTACCACCACTGCCTGGTACTTAATCTTTGTTTTAATGTATAATATTAATGTTGTTTCTGTCCTAAACTTTATGAAACTTGAACTAAAATAGTTTGCCTAGCTCTTAGAGCTGCTCTTAAAGAGTGTGAGAGCAACCGGTGGAGCTGAGGAAAAAGAAACGGATAATTGTTAAAGACTTTCTCCCCTTTTGTATTTCAAAGAGAAGTCTTGTGATTTCTTAGAAACTGAAAGAACTATATTCCACCCCAACTCCCCTTTTAAAGAATTTGTTTATTGACAGAGTATTTGGGTGTTTAGATTTGTCTGCTTAATTTGACTTTGTGCTTCCTTCCTTCTTTCCTTCCTTCCTTTCTTCCTTCCTTCTTTTTTTCTTTCTTAAATAGGGCTGTTTCGTGTTTAAACCAGACATCAAGAAAAGAAAGATCTCTGTGCCAATAGGTAAAGTATCTTAGCATCCAATTTGTTAATATTTGTTCCCCTAGATCTTAAACTTTAAGTGTGATTATGAAGAAAACCAGAAATAATTTAAAGAAAATTAAGGATTTATTCCATCGTTGTATATGTGAGACACATACCATACAGTAATATCTGAAACCACCAGCAATGTAATTATAACAAATTCACTAATATTTTAAAACATTTATTATGTCCTGGACTGTTGTGTTCCTTTCATCCCCTCAGCGAACTTTGCGGAATGTAGTATTATTTCCATTGCCATATACAAGAATACATAGAAAATAGATGTCATAGAGCTAAGATTTGAACCCATCCTCTGGTTTTAGACTTTGTGGTCTAACCATTGCTTTATGAAACCATTTCATAATATGAGGCAAGTGTTTGCATAGAATTTTTTAGGTTGGATTTCAGTTATAACTTTAGATTTATTTACAGTTTGTAATATCAACATTTTATATGTACAGCAGTATAATTTGAGCTTTGTTTTAGAGTTTTCAAATTTTTTTCTTTCATTGTATTGACTTAAGACTAATAGGCATTGTTTTGGTTTAAATTGTGTAAGGAATTGACTTTGATTATAAGAGAGATGGGACAAGGAAAATCGTTCCCACTTTTTAGTGGTAACCTTCACTGGCTTCAATAGTTGAAATGATTGGAGAGAAGGGGGGTGGGGTGCATTTTCCCCACCATTTGTTCCTTGACTTGAAGGCAGTTAGGTACATCCCTAAGCAAAAACTGGTAAATTCTCCCACTTAATAGTGTTTTGTGGAATACTGCACGTCTACCAAAACAGTTGGTAAAACTGGGAAAAGAGCTTGAGACAGAGAATGGCAGCCCCAGTGACAGGGTTGCTTACAGGCACTGAGGCACTCACTGAGGACAAGCAGAGGTGAGTGGTGAGGGGATAGCTACCATTTGCAGCGCCCCCCCCCTCCATCCCCAAGCTCACTGAACGACCATGAGAGAAGTGACGCTTATAGGCCGGTGCCTACTGATGCTCTGTCTCAGTTTCCAAGATTGTTTTCACTCTGTGCTTCATTAGTTAGCCAGCACATAAATTCCTGCCTTAGTTTGCTATGTAGCATTTTATCACCATCCTTCCAATCAAATTAAATGACTATTTTTGCCTGTTTAAGGCTACCTTATTATCCTGCTTTATCTTTTAATAGATTGTTGCATATTCTCTTTTTTGCATCTTAATACCATAACCTTGTCATCTAGGCATTATAATGACTTTATTGTGTTGTAAAATGTTTGACAAAAGTAAGATACTTGTGGAAACTAAGTCAATTATTATGAGTAGCATTCCTTCATAGGAAAGAAAATGTATTCCAGATTACCAAGTAAAGACATAGCATTACTAACGGATGCTAGAGTGAAAGCTCTAAACTTAGGAATGTA